GGAACTAAACTCACAAAATATTTTCAGTTTGTTACTTTCGTACCATGGTTACAAATCATGGCCTACCAGGCAACATATTCTTCTGATGTGTACGCCGATGGTACACATAGATGTGAACTTTCACCTCAGGAGGAAGTTGAGATATAATTTGTTCAGCATTTTGGAAGAATGCTTGATAAGTGTTTCATACCAGGTTTCATACGTGTTTTTTATGAGCATGGTCTGGTGAAAAATACACTGTAGCAAACACGTGTGTTTCACCTGGTATGTGGGGACCCAAAAATGCTCAAATTCATTACATTTTGCTGTAGAGATGATTTCTGAGTTAAAATTGGCTGAAAGAGCTATAAGGACTCCGCCGTCTGACTTCTTCTGAGACGCACGAAGATTCCTGTCGTCTCTGAATACATTAAATGCACTTCCAAAGATTTCTACACTTCTAACGCTTTCATCCCAGCTTGTTTCAGTTTATTTATATATTTCGTTGATTTTGGTTGGGCTTTTCATGCGATTAAAGTTTTGACAGTAAACCAAAATTTCAGTAGCATTCTGTTTATGTGAAGAAATTGTTAAAATTGCGTCGGTTGACAACATATTTTCCTTATTATTATTTACCAGAATTCGCAGTCGCATTGAGAGGGTGAAGAGATTTCTGGAAGACTAGTTCTACTTACATTATAGTTTTCTTCTGCCGCTGCATTCCTTCCGTAGAGTTCGTCAATGTTAATGAAAATTTTGAGGACTGTAGAATTTCCGTGCGGCCTCCCTAGTTTGCTGCAGTTGTTGGATGCGTTCGCTGGATAATAACGCTCGGTATGACTTAAGGTCTTCTAGGGCGTCATTTCGTGAAATTCCACGTTCTTCGTGGAAGTCCAAGAAAATTTCGTGTAGAAAATTGATGTTTGTTGGTATGCCCTAAATTGCTATCATTAAAGCTGCGCTGATTTTGGGCTACAAAATGGTGAGTTGACAACCTGGAAGGAGCGGAATACCTAGCCCTGGTCCTCACAAGTTCCTACTTCACGCCTCCTCGAGTCATATGATAACAAAAGACTACCAGCTGAAACATGGACACAGCTGGTTGGCGTAGCCTGGGCAATGTTGCCAGTCCGGCAATAGCAAAGTGAAGAGGTGCGACGCGAACACTGGCGCGGTAACCATAGTACGGTGATAGAGGAAATGCTTCACCAAACCTGAGCGTCTGCTCACCATGGAGGTGCGGCTCAAAACGGCGTCTGTTCTCCATGTTAGGAGCGGCTGATCACCGTCCTAGTGCCAGCGTGGGACTCTAAACAGAGCTGTGCACGATGGTCCCCCGGCGAGACAGGGGGTTGGGGCAGGCCCAACAAGCCGCCCTGGAAAAAAAACAAAGTTGCAAATACCGAAGAAAGAAATACGGATCGGAACAATCGGCACAGACCTACGCGACGAAATAAGGACTACGATTGGAAACTCGGAACATGGAACTGCAAATCGCTCGGCTTCCCGGGTTGCGATAGGTTAATCTATGACGAACTTCAACCACGCAACTTCGAAGTCGTAGCACTGCAGGAACTTTGCTGGACGGGACAAAAGGTATGGAAAAGCGGGCATCGAGCGGCTACTTTCTACCAGAGCTGTGGCACCACCAACGAGCTGGGAACCGGCTTTGTAGTGCTGGGTAAGATGCGCCAATGCGTGATTGGTTGGCAGCCGATCAACGCGAGGATGTGCAAGTTGAGGATTAAGGGCCGTTTCTTCAACTACAGCATCATCAACGTGTACTGCCCACACGAAGGGAGACCCGACGACGAGAAAGAAGCGTTCTATGCGCAGCTGGAGCAGGTGTACGACGGCTGTTCGCAACGGGACGTCAAAATCGTCATCGGCGACATGAACGCTCAGGTAGGACGGGAGGCAATGTATAGACCGGCAATCGGGCCAAACAGCCTGCATGCCGTATCGAACGACAACGGCCAACGATGCGTGAACTTTGCAGACTCCCGGGGTATGGTAGTTCGAAGTACCTTTTTCCCCGCAAGGATATCCACAAAGCCACCTGGAGATCACCTGACCAACACACAGAAAACCAAATCGATCACGTTCTAATCGCCGGGAAATTCTTCTCCGACATTATCAACGTCCGCACGTACCGCAGTGCGAACATAGATTCGGACCACTACCTAGTTGCAGTATGCATGCGCTCAAAACTCTCGACGGTGCATAACACACGTCGAAGTCGAACGCCACGACCCAACATTGAGCAACTACGGGACACCGGAGTTGCCCAGGACTACGCGCAGCAGCTGGAAGTTGCACTACCCACGGAAGAGCAGCTTGGCGCAGCTTCTCTTGAAGATGGCTGGAAGGACATCCGTTCAGCCATAGGAAGTACTGCTGTAGCGGCACTAGGTACTGCAATCCCGGACCGAAGAAATGACTGGTTTGACGGCGAATGCAAACTGTTAGTAGAGGAGAAGAATGCAGCACGGGCGAGAATGCTGCAACACCGCACGAGATTGAATGTGGAGCGATACAGACAAGCGCGGAACAGACAAAACTCGGTTTTCCGAAGGAAGAAGCGTCAGCAGGAAGATCGAGATCGCGAGGCGATGGAAAATCTGTACCGCGTAAACGACACACGGAAGTTCTACGAGAAGCTAAATAGTTCGCGCAAAGGCTACGTGCCGCAAGCCGATATGTGCAAGGACTTGGACGGTAACCTTCTCACGAACGAGTGTGAGGTGATTGAGAGATGGAAGCAGTACTATGACGAGCACCTCAACGGTGAAGCAGCAGAAAACGAAGGTGGCACGGCAACAGACCTTGGAGCACGCGCAGAAGACGACAGGCTACCGGCCCCTGATCTTCAAGAAGTTGAGGAGGAGATCGGTCGGCTGAAGAACAACAAAGCAACTGGTGTAGATCAACTACCAAGTGAGCTATTGAAATACGGTGGTGAAGCACTGGCTAGAGCGCTGCACTGGGTAATTGCCAAGATTTGGGAGGAGGAGATATTACCGGAGGAGTGGATGGAAGGTGTCGTATGCCCAATCTACAAAAAGGGCGACAAGTTGGATTGCTGCAACTACCGCGCGATCACACTGCTGAGCGCCGCCTACAAGGTACTCTCCCAAATTCTATGCCGCCGTCTGTCACCATATGCAAGAGAGTTCATGGGGCAATACCAGGCGGGATTCATGGGTGCCCGCGCTACCACGGACCAAATTTTCGCGATTCGGCAGGTTCTGCAGAAATTCCGCGAATACAACGTGCCCACACATCATTTGTTCATCGATTTCAAATCCGCATACGACACAATCGATCGAGATCAGCTATGGCAGATTATGCACGAGTACGGATTTCCGGATAAACTGACGCGATTGGTCAAGGCGACGATGGATCGAGTGACGTGCGTTGTTCGAGTATCGGGGACACTCTCGAGTCCCTTTGAATCTCGAAGGGGGTTACGGCAGGGTGATGGACTTTCGTGTCTGCTGTTCAACATCGCGTTAGAAGGTGTGATCAGAAGAGCTGGGATAGACACGAGTGGCACGATATTCAGGAAGTCCATCCAGCTCCTTGGTTTCGCCGATGACATTGACATTATGGCACGGAACTTTGAGACGATGGCGGAAACGTACATCAGACTGAAGGCTGAAGCTAGACGGATTGGACTTGCCATCAACGCATCAAAGACAAAATATATGAAAGCAAGAGGTTCTAGGGAAGACAATGTTAGCCTCCCACCCCGAGTTCAGATTGACGGTGACGAAATCGAGGTGGTCGATGAGTTCGTGTATTTGGGCTCACTGGTGACCGCCGAAAATGATACCAGCAGAGAAATTCAAAGACGCATTATGGCAGGGAATCGTGCCTACTTTGGACTCCGGAGGACGCTCCGGTCGAATAAAATTCGCCGCCGCACGAAGTTGACTGTCTACAAGACGCTGATTAGACCGGTGGTCCTTTACGGCCACGAGACCTGGACTATGCTCGTGGAGGACCAACGCGCCCTTGGTGTTTTCGAACGGAAGGTGTTGCGTACCATCTACGGTGGAGTGCAGATGGATGACGGAACGTGGAGGAGGCGAATGAACCACGAATTGCACCAGCTGCTGGGAGAACCATCCATCGTCCACATTGCAAAAATTGGGCGACTACGGTGGGCTGGGCACGTCGTAAGAATGCCGCACGACGACCCAGTGAAAATGGTTCTAGAAAGCGACCCAACAGGAACAAGAAGAAGAGGCGCGCAGCGGGCAAGGTGGATCGACCAAGTAGAAGGTGACCTGCGGACCCTTCGCAGACTACGAGGCTGGCGAACTGTGGCCATGGATCGAGTAGAGTGGAGACGACTTCTTCGGACAGCAGAGGACAACAAGGCCTTAGCCTGATTGGTAAGGTAAGGTATGATTTTGGTGATTCCGCGAATAAAGGTAACGTGCCGTTATTTTTGGAAGAGCATGTCGATACTTACAAAATTAAAAATCATTGCGACTAAATTGAATAATTGAATAGCCATTCTTCGTAGAAACCGAAAAACAAACCAACCAGTTGTAACTTTTATCGTCCTGAACGGATTTAAGTATATGTTGAGCAGTTTAAAAGAACAATGTTTTGGCTAAAAATGATTAAATTATAACAAATTTGGTTCATTATATTTCAAGACATTATAGATTGAAAAATTATAGTCAAATAAGAAATTATTTACTAGAAATTACTCCAAGGTCAATCAATATATTGATAAACTCTGAATACTTTATGAACTAGTAGTCAACATTTTATAAATTTTGATGGGCAAACCGAAAAGTAACAGCAGTTTGAACTTGCATAGAGCGACGAGAAAATCACGGTGTATTATTTTTTTTAACCAGAGAACAACGGTAAGGCAAGTATAATAATTTTAGCACGCTTGAAGTCGCATCTCATGTGGATCATTTGGGAGGAATGGGAATTACAATGTAACAACATTTATGAGATCTCAATGATTCTAATATGCACCCAATTGTTCTCTGCAGAAATTACTGGATTCCCGGACCGCAACCACTCATTCATTCGTCAGTGAAATGTTCGCTCCAGAACAAAGGCAAGCAGTCCGAACACGAACATAAAATGCAGCTGACGTTAACCGGCGATCACCAGTGCGCTTTGGTTATCGGTCCGAAAGCTGGTACAACGCTCCAAAAGTGGGACATTGTGGACGAACTGGCTGATCCAATCGAGTTCAATGGTCAGCGAGGATATTTTGTACTGATCAGCAGTGGTACAAATCCGGGTCCGATGAATGTCACATTGTATTTGAAGGTGAGGAAACGAGATATCAAAACTAGTTAAGCGAGTTTTTGTTTTAAATACTGTTGGTTTTAGCATGAAATTTCGAACTATGACGGTCCGTTGGTTGATGTAACAGTGACAACTACATTCTGGGAGCATCAGAAGCAGCACACTCCAATATTCAACAAACTTCTCGCTCGTGTTCCACCATGGGCACACGTGGTTCCTTCCGTCGCCGCTGTCAATAGTTACACGTTTTAAACTAATTACCAGCACAAAACACGGATTGCAAGCTATATATTATAGCTTTAGCTTTAGAAGGTTAGAGGTTGTTTGGATAGCTCAAAATTAATTTTATTCGAACAAATTTTTTACGGTCTCTAGAAGAGACACTCTCTAATTTAGATTATAAGATTTGTCAAAATGAATAGTACTTCACTTTGTTTTAAAAACAAAATTCCTAATAGCTTTGTCCTTTTCAATACTATAAAAAGAATGGTATATCAGCTGAAAAAAAATACTGTCTTTGACACATACCCTTTCCACAACACTGTTGTAGCATAAACAAAAAGAATCTCTTTGAATTTTATAATCCACACTCTATGAACCCGTCTCATATCTAGACACTAAGTAATACGATCTAAAGAAGTTAATCTCAATCGTAACTTTTTCTTAAAAACCAAAAATTGTTTACCTTTAATCGTTATTGAATAAAGTTACGAAACCAATTACTTACTGACTCAAGGCAAATCTTGCCGCTAGCAAATGCTGGTTTTCTCAGTTAGTGTTACGCTTGCTGACGCATAGAATCAAACGCTTTAAAAGACTAGATCGTTCCATCAGTCGGCTATAGCCATTCTAGCTTAATATGTTAGTTATTCTGAAAATTTTCTAATTCCTAATTCATAGGATTAAAAAAAAAGATATTACATTAAAGCTTTTTAACTAATAAAATACTCTATTGTATTTGATTCTGTCCGAAAATACCTGATGTAAATATTTAAAGGAAAATTTTCTTATTCGATTTGAAGGCCAATCCCTGGCAGCGTTCTAGATTCAGCAAGATTTGTTGCTCGTTGCTTGGGAACCGACCACGTGGTTGTTGTATCCCAACACATGGCAAAACGCTATCGCCCAACCAAACTTCGTCCCATAAATTATCGATTAAACATATCCTTCTTTCAATTTCATTCGTTTTTGTTGTTCAGAATGTCTTACATTTGCTTGGGTCCAATAAGTGCGGGAAAAACGCTGCTACTAACGTGTTTGCAAAATCCGGAATCGGTCAACTTTACGTCTCATTCCGTACCGAGTGTGGGTACGAATTTGTACACCATAAAAATTCCTCCGGTGGTAATCGACGAAAAGGACATCAATGTGAAACCACCGCCCCCGCCTCGCAAACGCGACATTGTGCAGGTCCGGGAAGTCGGTGGCTGTTTGGCTCCTATTTGGAGAGATTACCTAAACAAACCCGTCGACAACATTATCTACGTGGTGGATACCTCCAATCTATGCCAGATTTCCGCTGCAGGTAAGGTGAGCAAATTGATATTGCAAACTTTAAGATGAACGCAATCGCTGTCTCAGGTGTACTGCTGTATTCGATGCTAGCTGAGCCAAGGCTACAAAAAACAAAATTTCTTTTGGTACTGTCAAAAATGGACCTGGCTTACCGACAAATGCGAAACGAAGCTCTACTGATGCTACAGATGGAGAAATTCATAAAACAGATTTCGCAGGATATAACAATTGTGCAGTTTAGTGCCATCAATAAGGAAGGAATCGATGAAATCTACGAATGGTTGGCTACATAATTGAATAAGTCTTTGCGTAGTAATCACAAATAAATATTAAATTTAATTGCATTGTTCTTTTTCATGTTCTAGTAAGGAATAAGTTATAAAGTTATAAAAAAAACGTATTCTATATATTTAAAACACGTAGATATTCATCACCGCAACCGACGGTATCACATGTGCCCAGGAGGGAAATTTCTTAATCAAATCTGTGAATTCTTGAGTGTGCATTCGATGTGCTTCCCAATGAGTGGTAACGACGGTGACATCAGCAAGTAATCCTTTGTGGTCCTTGTTCTCATGTTCGAAATCCAGAGTAATTTCCCAAGGCTCGCCCGGCAGTCCGTGGGTGATAAGCACAAAGTGTGCTTTTTGGTTGTTGAACTCCGTTGCTGGTGTCAACTTGTCCAGTAGATTCCAACCGACCAACTTTACACCCGGTTTTGCTCCAATGATGAGAGAAGATTGGATGCTGCCTTCCAGCATGAATGTCAGCCGTCGGACATTATCGCTTAGCTGTTCCTGTTTAGTCTTTGTCATGGACACCACTTTATCTGCAACCGGTGGTGGTCCGGGTAACCAGTAATTGCTGAAAAATAGATGGATATTGAGCATTAACAGATTGGCTTTCCTCTTTAAATTTGAAAGAGTGATGAAATTTCTTGTTTTTATGCGTTACGTAGCTCGGAATGGAATAATCGTTGGATCAAAATCACGCTGATGACACCGAAAGCTTTAGTTAGGCAAAACCACGCTCAAACATGTTTGTGACCACTTGGTAGATGACAAAAGATCGATTGAATCTATACATTTTATGCTAATAGTTACTGAATGCTTAGACCAAATGTTAGCGTGGCATGTTATTGATGAAAATAATTATTTCTTTCTGATATTTGTATACTAAAACTGTTAATTTTTGATCCTTCATAAATCTTCATGAGAACAGAATATTCTTACCGGTTCTTTACTAGGGCGAAAATTTTGTTTTATCAATTAAAAATGGCACATGTCATTTCAACTATACCAATCCTTCATAGTTGGAGATGCTTAACGTCAAATATCAGACTTAAGCATGTCAAAAGTTTGTTTTGAAACAAAAATAACCAACTTTTAATTTCAACTCTGCCATGCTTTTCATTGACAGATCTACAATTTGATTTAAAAGTTTCAACTTTTAAAAATAGTGAAGGGGAACTTTTGAATTGACAGGTCAGTGACTTTAGTTTGGAAAGCCAACCGATTTCTTCTAAAAAGAACCAATGCAAAGTTTTAATTCTGTGTTTACGAACATTTTGCTTGAAGCCGATTTATTAGTGATCTTTGCACCGATCCCGAGGAATCTGGAACGTCAAAATCTGGAACTCTTCATTTGGAATATTTGCGCCAGTTTGCTGCTATTTCTGTGTGTCGTCTGAAAGCTGACGTTTCCTTAACAGACACGAAAGTTTCCCAGATCATAACCTTCTGTCAAGCGATAGTGGACCAAATAAACGGATATATATCTCAAACGGTGGAAACATTTATGGACCAATACACAGCTCACATCGATTCACAGCAAGTTGTCCAATTGCAAAACAGCTTACTAATAGACAACATTTTCAAAGATGTTTCTACACCTACGAAGCAACGAGCCTTCCTTAGCAAAACAGTTGGGACAATTCCGGAACCAAGGACAATTATGCTGAAAGAACGGGAAGGAACACGTTTCGTAAAAGGAAAAGAAGCCACCCTTAAGGTAATAGTATCTTTTTATGTGTAAGGCAAAATACTTATTTTCCCGTTATTTATCAGGTTCAAGATACGTTTCAATACATCCCAATTATAGAATCGTTGAAAATGATTCTAAGATGTGCTGAAAATCGTACTGCAATGGTAAATCAAATAGCAGCTTACAGTGTATCTAACGCACCTACAATATATGGAAGCTTTACTGACGGAAACTCTTTTAGGAACAGTGCATTTTTTGAAAAACACCCGGATGCTCTTAGAATAATTATTTATGAGGACGATGTTGAGCCATGTACATTGAGCTCAAGATGCGGTAATAAAAAGATCGCAGCTTTATATTTTAAAGTTCAGAACTTGCCAAGACGCAAAGTCAACAGATGCCAAGCGGCTACCGTGATAGAAAAAATAAGCCATCGTCCAACATTACTGCTCAAATGCTTCTTCAACCTAAATCTCATCGAATGAGACAAACGGCGTCTCAATATCTACTTTTTCTAAGAGCTTTCCCGTTCCTTTTCAATCATAAAGTACCACATGATTGTCCATATATGACTCTCATAAGTTGCCTCATCAATATAACTCGTATATCGTTTTCACCAACAGTCCCAGATTTTCTAATAGCGGAACTTGAAATTGGAATCACAATCTTTTATAAAATGTATTTTGATTTATTTAAACGTCGTCCAAACAAATTACATCATCTCTATCACTACCCAGACTGCATTAAAGAAATTGGACCGTTGCAACAATATGATTGTCGTGTTTTTGAAGCAAAAAACAAAAATATAAAAATACAGATGAACGCTGCAAAAAATTTCAAAAATGTATGCCTCAGTTTAGCTAAACGACAACTGTTTGCGCAAGCTATTAGCATCGCAGAACGTCCGTTCAAAGATTGTTTGACTTACCAATCTGGAAAAATGTTTTTAATCAAGAATATGAAATCAGCTCCCTTGTTGATTTTCAATTCAGAGGACCGATGTTTTTCTCCCAAAGAAATGGTATTCAATGGAGTTCAATTCCGGACTAATTGTGTTGTATCAGTCAAGGATACCAACCTAAATGGGCTCCCTACTTTCGGAGAAATACGAGAAATTGTCGTGATAGATGACAAAGCCAAGATTCTACTGATATTGTGGGAAACAATTGATTTTGATGATGTGCTGCAGGCGTACCAAGTTGAAAATACAAAGCAAGAAATGTTAGTTTCTCTGGAAAACATACATAGTCACACTACTTTTGCATTTTGGAAAACATATAATAATACACCCCATTACATATCGAAAAGAATATATAACAACGATTATTAATAACAGTTGCTAAGTTATCAACTTCTGAAAAAATACAAATTTTAACAGTTCACGAAGAAATCGTCGACGTAGAAACGTTTTCGCTGCTGGATGAGACTGATTTCAATCGTTTGAACCTAAACACTGGACAGAGGAAAAAAATTCAAAAAATTCAAGCTGAAATTATCAGCAATTCAAAAAATACTACAAAGGAATCTATCAAAAATGAACTTTATGAGGAATATGAATACATCGAGCAAGAGGACGAACTGGGCGTTTCATTGGAAAAGGTAAACTAATTTATGATTATAGAACAGTTGCTGTATAACGTTTCAATAATTCTTTATTTTTTAGGAATTTGATATTGACTGTGTGTTCCAACAGACACCAGAAGGCCGCAATATTATCGAACTGTTGAAGGAACACAATTCGATCAACAGCAAATTGATCAAAGCGATCACAACCGTCCTGAGCGAATACCTTATCAATAGGTTTGGGTAGTAAGTTAATTTTAATTAAGCTTAATCGTAGATTGTAACGTGTAACGTATGGTATTTTAGTGTGCGACAAATAGTCCCTTCATGTGTTGATAATGCGGTAAAGATGCGATTTGAAATCTTTTTGAACAAAATTGGGAATAGAATTACTATTTTTGTTTGACCTATGCTTCTATGATTGTCCTATCGAGTCATTAGCGCCAAGCATGATTGAAATGCAGTATATTCATAAAAGTATATATGAGACTCGATAGGGTTCCACACTACTTCGTCGTATGAGACCTATTTCGGTAGTATTCCATATAAACAATGGAAACAAAACGTGTCAGCTAAATATTTCCAATTAACAATTTATGTTCGTGAACATTACTTTACTATAAAAACCTTTGTGTTAGTAAGATCAAATTTTATACTGTGCTATGACCTAGCCTTAAGGTGATACTCTAAGGAAGCCTTAGCGTGAAACTTTAAAGGCACAAATGTCAGCTTCCACAAAACATACAAATTTGAAATTGCTACTCCTTGTTTGCTGTGCTACTACAAACAGAGAGTAGCAATTTCAAATTTGTATGTTTTGTGGAAGATGACATTTGTGCCTTTGAAGTTTCACGCTAAGGCTTCCTTAGAGTATCACCACTTAAATGCCATTCATGATTGTCAACACAAGTACACTGAGCTACTTTACAACACTATAAGACACAGGAATTCGCCGAAGACCGCGGTGGGTAATGCAGATCACTCATTACTATTGGTCGGCTGTCCATCAAACTGATTTCTAGTGCTGACCTAAGAGGAAGAGGAGACAACTGGCTTCTTACTCTTTTATCTCTATCTCTATCTCTATCAATATCTATCTCTATCTCTATCTTACGCACTTCAAATCGGCCAATCACGAGCTGGTTCGCGTTTTACAGAAAAGTGGTTCGTTTTCGCCCCCGTATTGTCTCCTCTTCTCTTAGGTGCTGACTAGTTTATGTGATTCAAACTGGTTATATACACACACAAATCAACTCAATAGATTAAAGCTGATAACTAGCAGTGGGTAGACTACAACTCCTCCCACTCTCTTCGGGTGATCCCTGTTTCATAAGTGCACGTCGGCCTTAAAAACATAACACGGCAGGGAAAAATTAAAATCACAATTAACGAAAACTAATTACAATAAGTGTAACTGTATTATGTACTTTTGGCCTATCTACTTTTGGCCTATGAAAAGTTGATAGGCCCTTTTCAAATGTTACGCGAAATTTTATTAATAGATTTTTTGCTTGCTTTGCTTATTCATAGCCATCCAAGTGCACATCATAAAAATGTTGTGGCACTATCCCTGGTTAATAAATATGATGTTTTGAAATCGAACAGCGCAGCTATGCCGCAGGTACGTTAACTTTTTTATAATATATCCATAATCATGTATGTGTTTATTTACATTTATGTTTAGGCCTTATGGTTCTATCCGCATGGACGAGGCCATGGTAGACATAGTGGCAAGTTGCACTACCATATTGAGTACATGGTGAAGAAATTTGAGAAGCAGATTCGTCGAACAAAGGAGGAGAATGCTGATTCTGCAAAGGCACACAACGCTGCCAACGATGATTTAACCGGAGATGGATTGGTTGATATGGTAAAATTTCTTGCAGGTAATATTCTAAATATTCAATATAAAGTTTTCCGTTTTTTTTTTCAGATTACTAAACTGAAGTTTATTGTACCATCAGAAGCGTCGTTCGAGGTAATCAAAACCGACTGGATGAAAACAGTTGAAGCTCGAAATGTATTGCGAAAAAAGGACAAATCAGAAGATTTGGCAGACAAGATGACTGACATGTTTCCACTGTCAACTGCATTCAATGGACTATTGGTATTAATGCAACTATTACTTTGTAACAACTTCATTCTAAGTTCACTGTTCATATATTTTTTAGATAAACTTGGATTTCACGCAGATGTTTCCTGAAACTATCGAAAATAGCAGCAACTGGAGTCTGCTGCAAGATAAAGTTCAAACAAAATTCAAACACTTGCACCCAACTGTAAACACTCGTAAGAAATATTTAATTGTTCGACATGTTCCACTAAAATTTACACCAGGTTTATTACAGAATTTATTCGATCATTGCTAATTATTAAAGAAAAGAATCCATCCCGTGGAGCAAAACGGGCTAACAAAGGTTCACAAAAAATATCCAACCTACTAGAAGGGATTGTCGAGTGGATAAATGTATGTGACTATTAATGAAAGTTGTTGATATAATGTTTAATACGAATTTTTACTGTTTTTAGCCGGAGGATGACATCAATCAGTATGTCGTGGGCTATCGGAGCACCAAAAATCCTGTGATGATCGTCAAAGCACAGTTGTACGCTGAGGGCGAGTGTTATATCCGCATCGGAAAACGATTTTTTTCGGTAGGGTCCGAAATTGAGCAAGCGTTTACCACATTGATCAAAACGCACTATTTTTTTAGCTACAAATTTGAACCAGCCCATGCGAATTTTTTCTCTCTTTTTACGGGAGCTATTTTAAACGTGGCCAAACCATCAACTACTGTAACTGATTTTCTCGTTCAGTTGAAGTAAACTTATATTGTTGTATTATATGGTTAAGTTTGTTACTTGTACATGTATTTGTATTCGCTTTCGTTTTTTAAACAATACTTTGTTTTTTTTTTTCAAAGATTTAACAAGATATAATAAACATGATTTGATAGATCGATAATCAGTATTTAAGGAAATTTCTTCAGACATGCGCCGTAAATTTATACATCAAGCAAAGTTTAAATAATATTACATCTCTTGATTGTATGTCCGCATGTCCGAAGAAGTATCTTCAATCTTATATTTTTTTATTTATTTTTATCCCAAATCTTTTTGGTTAATGTTGTGCTGAAAGTTCAGCAGTGTCATCAAATTGCTGGAAATACAGCAAATAAATGTAATTGTGGGTTTACTGATCGTTCAGCAAACCAAACTCCAGTTTGCTGAAACTACAGTTAAGTGCTGTCAGTTTCATGAAATTTAGTTTTGCTGGAAAAACAGCAACATTTATTTTGCTGGACGGATTGCTGGTTTTACAGTTCGGCAAAATCCAGCAAAATGTTGCTGGTTTCCAGCAAAAAAAATAGTGTGTATGAAGGTATCATAAACTGATGTTGACAACGCCACCACTATTACCAAATACGAACTAATCACTGTGCCAGAGGATTAGTAAATTCATAGGATTTTGACATTCCTTTTGAAAGCATTTTTTATACAATGCAAATGCAGCTGGAAAAACTATATGATAAAATTATTACAATTGTTCTGTGTTTTTCAACATTTACAGATATTTCAGACGTTAATTCAGGCTGATGCAAATTTTTATTATATGACTTATAAAGTAATATAAAATCAACCGTATTCAAAATTGTTTTTCTCTCTGCGCTTTTAATATTATATGTATATTAATTAATTATTATTAATTAACTGGGTTCTTTAATTTTGAAAAAAAAAATCTGTTTTTACATCATCTGAAAGAGCTATGTATTCCGAACACAACGATATTTTTTTCAAACCCATAGACTTCCATCTTGATTTTTAAATCAAGATTTAAAGCAAAATCATGGCTCCACTGATGGGCGCTTAGATGGTGATTTTCGCTAATGTAATCGTATTTATTTAAAATAGTTCCAGTGTACCAAAATGATGAAATTTTGGATTTCGGTTTTCGTTTTTAATGTCCCCCTCAACCTATTTGAGTGATGTCGGAAATAAAATTAAAGAAATATGTATTTTCATCAGCTTATTAAAGAGATTCTTAGCCTGCGGTCGTTAATGCAGATGTTAACAGCGTTAACGTAATTAGCAACCCTGCTGTGGGTGGCTTTATGGATCGATAGGTCTGAGCCAGATGACAACGAGAAAAAAAAACCCTACTGTGGGAGTGGAACCACCAACTCATGATAAGATATTTCCATTTCAGGGAAAACAAAATTCAACGCAGCTAAGAAACACAGCATTCTATTAAAGCTGCGATTGTATAGGAATGTGACGCCAAATATTGCCAATTCAGAGAAAAATTTGCATTTGACGTCAGATTATCAACTATAATAGCATGCTACGGTTGTCAGCTACATTGATTTTTTTTTTTCTGGAATTGCAATATTAAAAGCTATTTGGACACGACTAAATACAAGCTACTTACTCGAATCGAATCTGGTGCCACATGGAATAAAAAGGAACGGCGCAGAAGATTTCCGTTTCACAAGTGTTCATTTCACGCATCGGAATGACCGTTTCCGGACTGGCAACTCCTTTTATCGCCCGGTATGAGTTTCGATCCATTTCGCGGAATAGGAAACCGGAATCATTTCCTCTAGAGTTACCCAATTCATCGTAGTAGGAACGCATTACGTGCTGCAAGCATATAAAAATAAATTTATGAAATAAACTTCCAAATAATTCGTCATGAAACTTTTAACAAACCGTCACGTAATGCCTTTGTACTGTCGGGGCGTTTGCACTATCATCTCGGTACGGGAATCCGACTTGCGTGAAGCAAGTGATCAGTAACGCGAGCAGAATGAAGACCGTCAACCGAGCGGTAAGTACGGAGGCTTTCTTCAACAAGGTCACCAACGGAATCATGTAGCTACTGACCAACAGAGTGCAGAGAGCAGCAATCGATCCAACCAGATATTCGGGATTTTTATGACCTCCAATCCGACCGGATATTGGAATGAACAATTTCAAGAACATGTGATAGTACTGTGTCGCCCAGAACATTGTTAGTATCTGGAAAGCCAGATGCACCAGGATCCATTTTTTGGTAGTATTCTGATAGCCCAGAACGGTTGAAACTAGTGATGACATCAGCGAGAACAGGAGCACCACCATGAAGATGTAGGTTGTTCGTATTCCTGCGAATGTTAGCGGTACAACCAGTATGGCCCAGAATAAGCTAACTCCCATCATTCGAGACTGGACAATCTGCGATAGATTCAGCACGGTCTGTAAACAAAAGTCAAGATGTATAAGCGACTGAAACGAGTTGTTGCTCTCAATTGAAGAGAAGAGATCCCACACCCCAAAGCGTCAATCTAATCAGTTAGAAATTGGTGAAAAAAACGATAAAAGCACAATTTTGAAAACCAAACAGAACAATAAATCATCAGAATGAGAGAGCCACATGGATGTTCAACTCGGGAGTGTCAAGTTGCATCAGTAGGTTAATAGGTGCATCGCGATCACGAGTTGGTAAAGTTAAAATATGCAAATGAAGCTGTCTTTTCGCTACTTTGAACAATTTAGACACAGCATTGTGGAAATATGAACAAAATTTTAAGTTAAAAAGGCGTTTTTAGCTCATGGAATTTGTAAGTCACTGTAGTCTTGGACTATTCTGTTGTGTTAGAAAAAAGTTCAAAATAGCTCCAAATTTAGCAGACACAAACAGATCAACCAAGTCAATGAGATAATATATTGCCTTATACAATTAGGACACTTACCTTCTTATCAGCAAACAATCGATTGATAATCATCTGCGAAAAACAATGACACAGCAACGCCGGACAACAATATAAGCCCATAACTAAGAACGGGGTCGAGTACCACGATAATGCCCGTCCCATGGCATCAAGTTGTCGGCCAATGATAAGGCACGACAAAATGCTTCCGACCGTACCTACTACAGTTGCCAGGAATCCATAAATGGCTTCTTTTATAATTGATCCTTCTCCCAGTTTTCGTACAGATCGACTCAGTCCGTAATACGGCATCAGAATGGCCAGAATCGAAACCAAAGTATTGATCGTGATTGCTGTATTGGCGGAATAGCAAACGAACAGCAGACCCATGAAGTCGTAGAACACGCTGTACCCTTTTTTGCTTTCCTCCAGTCTACTGTTTGCAAGTTCATCACTGTTGACCATTTCCCTTGTTATGGATAAGATATTATCGCCGGTACGCTGCAGCACTGGGAGTGACAAGTAGTCAATGTTATCGAACTTTGTGTGGTATCGGTATCCTTCAACCATATGAGCAAAATCCATCCCAGGTACATTTCCATAGTCGCGGAATATTCTAAAGTCTGTATCGGATGGAATTAAACCCGATTGGAAAATCTCTTCAGCAGCTGCATGGGCAAATGGGTGTCTTATTGAGCGAGCATATACATCAATCATCCATGGATGTTGCGGCCCACTTTGGAAAAGAACTTCCTTGCCTCCCGAACCAGCTGATTCCAAATTTATAAAGGCAGCCACCTGTTTTGCCCACTCATGTTGCGTAATGAACCCATGAGCTGCCTGCAAAGGAGTCTCCTCGGCCCCATTAAACAAAAATATTACGGAATGTCTATTGCGTTTTGGTTGTCTTGAGAGTACTCTCATGATTTCCAACATAACACAGCAACTTGCACCATCGTCACTGGCTCCCGGACTACTAGCAACTGTGTCGAAGTGGCAATTCAACATCAGTGCAGGACTGGTAGAGTTATCATATTCGCCCGCCAGCTTCACAACCAAGTTCTGAACATTTCTGTACAAGCTAGTCAGTGGATGGCCCATAAATGCAACATGATAGCCTCCAGTTGTTACTTGATGCTTGGTATCCAACCGCTGATTCCGGTGTTTGCTAGCCTGGATCATTTCAATCTCACGCTTCAGGTAGTTTGCAGTCAGCTTTTCATTCGCATCACTTCCGGTAGGCTTTGGGCCGAAATCATTCAGCACATTCAAATTTTCCCATGCACGTTCGGCGATGAATGCCCCTGGATAGCTCTCCAAGTTTGCACGTGTCAGTGCATTGGGCAAATTTGTAAACAGATAACTGGAAACAGTTCCACAAAGCAACATCAGCACTACTCCTAGCATTCCCAACTGGGAATCAATTTGATGTAGATTGGGTTCTTCGTCTCGAGACCCGGCTGCAGCCGAAGGCTGTTTTTTCGCTCTTTTCTGGTCAACCATCGTCGAAATACTGCTCTCAGCCTACAGAAAAATTGGGTGCAATGTCCCAAATCTGAAAATGATGATTATCATTCTGATAGCGTATTAAATTGATAACACTGTGGTTCACTTGCCTGTGTTGGTCTCGCTGATCTTCTGGAGGTTTACTTTCAATTTTAATTCACGAAACACTGATAAAATAATGATACTATTAAAATTATCTGCGTAAGGTAAAATGAACGAATCAACGTTCGACAAGTACTTACCAAACGACTACAACACATCTCATTAATAATCAATTTTTCAAAGTATGACAATATTATGCTGCCATACATACCTATACGATTCTTTATGGCTTGTATGCATTTCAGACCACATCTAGCCAGACACACACTTCTAGCTACAGCCGGCATACATAAGGATGGATTAGTGATAGATACCACTACACGCTCGCTGTGCCGGTAGATTACAAACACGTATATGTGGTACCCAAACATTATCTTTGAAGATTGATTGATGAATACTAAAATCAATTTGTACTCTACAGGTAATAACCAGTAAATAATCATATTATTATAATTCAGGCATAACATTTGATAACGGCACAAAAGCATTTGTAAAAAAACTTTCTAAGGCCCTTTACACGCAAACCAAAGTACGCCCACGCAAACCAATACCACTTTCGGAAAGGTGATAGTTGCCCCTATGCGATGATGTTGTTGGTTTGCGTAGGTGTATTTTGGTTCGCGTGTAAAGGGCCTTAGAAAGTTTGTTTACAAATGCTTTTGTGCCGTTATCAAATGTTATGCCTGAATTATTATTATTTCTGTATTACGCTCTTATAGTTGCGGTACGTTAGAAACGCTAGGTTCGCTTCCGACGTACCGCAACTAGGTGCGTTTACCCTAAATACAAAAATAATAATTGTTTCGCTGATAATACGTGTTTAAAACTTAACGATTCTAACGTACCGCAACTATAGGATCGTTTACCCTGAAATGCCACCCACAACCGATACGTTGCGTTTGCTCTTGCATAAATTAAATCCAAATTGTCAAATTTACGTCAATGTAACGCAGATGTATCCATTGTGGGTGGCCTTTAGCCGGCGCCGGTGGTGTAGCCGAGATTTGTGCGATTTTTCTGTTGCATAAAAATCTCTGGTCACGTCTTCCTTCGGAAGGGAACTTGGGCCGGGCCCTTATGGAAGTAAAGCCGTTGGGCCCGGCCCATGTGTGTTTGAATGGGTGCGATATCATACGCAGGTGTGGAAGCTACCTTCCTTCGATTGCCCGTCAATGGATGGCAATCGATGTCCGTCGGTGATTGGCACTAGATTGCGGAACAGAGACCGACGTTAAATAAAGGAATGAATAAAAATGAAGAAGATGGTGGCCTTTTTAGGGATGATGCAATATTATGTCACACCCTCAATTGACTACTTTGTCAAGCAGTTTTGGCGTGACTTTCTACCAGCGATTTCACAAAACTGGAAAAACTAATTTCTATTTTTTTATGAAACGCACAAATTTTGGCTACTTTTCTTGTGATTCTAGAAGAAAAATTCTCAAAATAATGTTTCATTTCAAAGTTCGAGTGGTAGTAAACGTCATTTTAACAGCTCGAATGAAGTGGTTAATTAACCACTTCATTCGAGCAGTTAAAATGACGTTTACTACCACTCGAACTTTGAAATAAAACATTATTTTGAGATTTTTTCTTCTAGAACCACGAGAAAAGTAGCCAACATTTGTGCGTTTCATAAAAAAATAGAACTTAGTTGGTCCAGTTTTGTGAAATCGCTGGTAGAAAGTCACACAATTCAGTGCCAACATTTCAAAGGGGCGTACTTGCATTTGTAAACAATGGCTTTAGCCGTCGATTTCTCGCGAATAAAAGCCCACTCATGAAAAATAATGACACCAGCTGGTAGAGGAATGTTTCCTCTACCAGCTAGTATTGTAATTTTGGAGAGGTAAGATTTTATTCGCGAGAGATTGACGGCTAAATTCATTGCTTACAAAAGCAATTACGCCCCTTTGAAATGTTGGCACTGAATTGTCAATTGACCACTTTGTCAAGCAGTTTTGGCGTGACTTTCTACCAGCGATTTCACAAAAATGGACCAAATAATTTCTATTTTTTTATGAAACGCACAAATGTTGGCTACTTTTCTCGAGGTCTAGAAAAAAGAATCTCAAAATAATGTTTTAATTCAAAGTTCGAGTGGTGGTAAACGTCATTTTAACTGCTCGAATGAAGTGGTTAATTAACCAGTGAAATCGCTGGTAGAATTCAGGCAAAAGAACGTAAGAATTCCATAAGAAACACTTATGAATTTTAGCCATAAGAAATGAGTGTGAATTTCATTGATTTGCCTTATGAAAAATAATGTTGACAAAAAAAATAATAAATGGGAGCAGACTGAAATCGGAAAATTGACGTTGAGATTGGGAGACCCATGTGTTGACCACTCATCTTTCAACGCTTGGGAAAATGAAATGGTTAAAGGCGTATAAGAGCTACCCGAATAGAAATTTACATTAGCCCAACGTTTGATTTTGATGTCTACATCAGCATCGAAATCAAATGTATGCCTGATGTCAAACATTAGAAAACATTATGATTTAGTTGTATTTAAGCAACGTAACATGGTGTATACATCAGAAATTTTGGAACAAAATTTTGCCATTCTAATGTCGGTCTGACGTCAAAAATTTCAATCTATTGACATTAGAATCAAACGTTTTAAGGATGTTTTCAGATGTAAAAAACGTTAGAACTAAACGTTGTTCGGATGTTTTTAAATGTAAACGTTTTCTGATGTTTTCTAATGTAGATGTTTCCTGATGTTAGAACCAAACGTTTTTGGATGTTTTCGGATGTACATAACGTTAGAACTAAGCGTTGTTCGGATGTTTTTATATATAAATGTATTCTGATGTTTTCTAATGTAGATGTTTCCTGATGTTAGAATCAAACGTTTTTCGGTTGTGTTCGGATGTAAAAAACGTTAGAACTAAACGTTGTTCGGATGTTTTTATATGTAAATGTATTCTGATGTTTTCTAACGTAGATGTTTCCCGATGCTAGAACCAAACATTTTTTGGATGTTTTCGGATGTACACAACGTTAGAACTAAACGTTGTTCGGATGTTTTCAATTGTACTTCGTGTTTGTTGTTCTCTGATGTTTTCAGATGTACAAAACGTTTAAAGTAAACGTTGTTTGAATGTTTTCAAATGTAGATGTTTACTAATGTTTTTAGATATACAAAACACTAGAATCTTACTTTTCAAATGCTTTCAATTATATTTACAACACATTAGAATTAGAAACATGATCGTGTAAACACTACACACCATTGTTGTTAGATAACATCATAAAAATGCGTACATAATAGTCAATGCTGAAGCTCCCGTTTCCCACCAGTCAGATAACTGACCTTAGCTAACCAAATATCATTGCGGCAACTCTCTATGCGGCAGGGGAACTATGCCATTAGCGCGCTAAAAGTTATTAGACCACTGACATAGGCGCCAATTTGTAGGTGACGAGGCACTTGGTGACATTACAGCGAGCTTGACGATTGTTATAGCATTTTTTTTAGCAAACTACCAGTTAAGGTGTGTAGTGTTTACAAGATCATGTTTCTAGCTCTAATGCTTTGTACAATTGAAAGCATTGGAAAAGTTAATTCTCATGTTTTGCATAACCGAAACCATCAGAAAACATAAAATAGTACAAAAAAAAAACATCCATTCTGGTAGACTATCTCTTAAATGCATACAGAATAGCCATTGCTTAAGCTCCCGTTTCCCACCAGTCAGTTAACTGACCTTAGCTAACCTAATATCATTGTGGCAACTCTCTATGCGGCAGGGGAACTATGCCATTAGCGCGCTAAGAGTTGTTAGACCACTGACATAGGCGCCTATTCGTGGGTGACGAGGCACTTGGTGACATTACAGCAAGCTTGGCGATTGTTATAGCATTTTTGAGTGAACTACCAGACAATCATGACAATAAGATCGCTGCGCCTCCAGATCTCCCTTTAAATCGACCCGCTGTGCCAATTTGTCAATAATGCATGACACTTTGGACGTGGATCGGGATGATCCACAAATGCGGAAAGTTTTGGGCTACCAGTCTTCTACCTAATTGACGAACTGCAAATATATAATAAACAAAATTATTGTGCATGAAAAATATGACAATGTACAATGCTCGAGGAACACTGGGAGTTTTCGAACGACGCGTGCTTAGGAATGCCGGACAACAATCCCGCAAAAATGGTGTTTTCCTCAAATCCGGCCGGTACAAGACAAAGAAAAGTACAGCGTGCTAGGTGGTTAGACCAAGTGGAGCAAGATGTAGGAAGTGTGGGATGCTCGAGAAATTGGAGACAAGCAGTCAGGGACCGAGTTAGTTGGCGCAACTTTGTTATACAGGTCAAATCTTGAGGGACGTCGGACCAGCAAAAGTAAAGTAAGTATCTTATACGTTTGCCAACATTCCACGACAATATATGATTAGGTTTTCACTTGGTATGTAATGAACAACAGAGATACGCGATAATTCGTATAGTTTCTGCGATTGATGGTTAATTTTAAATGTACGTATAGTACTATATAACAGCATAACTGGATCGTCATGTTCACCATCTGTCATTGTCTGCAAAAATATTTAATAGCAGTTACCTGTGTTGTGATACTTCCTTCAATGAAAACTAATTTTCTTGCATTGCCATGGTCATCTGGGATGAGGCTGGTCCACTGATCATTCGGAATGAGCTCTCCACACATCATTGAATCAATGTAGGATCAATGTAGATATGTAGATATCAATGTACATAGATGGTGTCATATGCAAAGTGCGAAAAGAGAATGAAAGAAATACGAAAAAGATTAGCATCAAGAAGTAACAGTTTCATCGGATTAGTCACCAAGTCCCCCACCACTGCTATCTGCAGCCCTATCACTCCCATCCCCACGATTGCGGAAGAGAATAATAAAGTTCTTGATTTAATTTAAAGAAATTAATATTTAATATCGGGATCCGTATTCGGTTTCCCCATCGGGATCCGTATTCGGTTTCTCCATCGGGATCCGTATTCGGTTTCCCCATCGGGATTCGTATTCGGTTTCCCCATCGGGATCCGTCTACGGAATCCCTATTGGGATGCGTATTCGGTTTCCCCATCGGGATCCGTATTCGGTTTCCCCATCGGGATCCGTATTCGGTTTCCCCATCGGGATTCGTATTCGGTTTCCCCATCGGGATCCGTCTACGGAATCCCTATTGGCATGCGTATTCGGTTTCCCCATCGGGATCCGTATTCGGTTTCCCCATCGGGATCCGTATTCGGTTTCCCCATCGGGATTCGTATTCGGTTTCCCCATCGGGATCCGTCTACGGAATCCCTATTGGGATGCGTATTCGGTTTCCCAATCGGGATCCGTATTCGGTTTCCCCATCGGGATCCGTATTCGGTTTCCCCATCGGTATCCGTCTACGAAATCCCCATCGGGATCCGTCTACGGAATCCCCATCGGGATCCGTATTCGGTTTCCCCATCGGGATCCGTATTCGATTTCCCCATCGGGATCCGTCTACGGAATCCCTATTGGGATGCGTATTCGGTTTCCCCATCGGGATCCGTATTCGGTTTCCCCATCGGGATCCGTATTCGGTTTCCCCATCGGGATCCGTATTCGGTTTCCCCATTGGGACCCGTACTCGGTTTCCCCATCGGGATTCGTACTCGTTTTCCCCATCGGGATCCGTATTCGGTTTCCCCATCGGGATCCGTATTCGGTTTCCCCATCGGGATTCGTATTCGGTTTTCCCATCGGGATTCGTATTCGGTTTCCCCATCGGGATCCGTATTCGGTTTCCCCATCGGGATTCGTATTCGGTTTCCCCATCGGGATTCGTATTCGGTTTCCCCATCGGAATCCGTCTACGAAATCCCCATCGGGATCCGTCTACGGAATCCCCATCGGGATCCGTATTCGGTTTCCCCATCGGGATCCGTATTCGATTTCCCCATCGGGATCCGTCTACGGAATCCCTATTGGGATGCGTATTCGGTTTCCCCATCGGGATCCGTATTCGGTTTCCCCATCGGGATCCGTCTACGGAATCCCTATTGGGATGCGTATTCGGTTTCCCCATCGGGATCCGTATTCGGTTTGCCCATCGGGATCCGTATTCGGTTTCCCCATCGGGATCCGTCTACGAAATCCCCATCGGGATCCGTCTACGGAATCCCCATCGGGATGCGTATTCGGTTTCCCCATCGGGATCCGTATTCGGTTTCCCCATCGGGATTCGTATTCGGTTTCCCCATCGGAATCCGTCTACGAAATCCCCATCGGGATCCGTCTACGGAATCCCCATCGGGACCCGTATTCGGTTTCCCCATCGGGATCTGTCGATGGAACCCGTCATCGGGATCCGTCTACGGAACCCGTCATCGGGATCCGTCTACGGAACCGGTCATCGGGATCCGCCTACGGAACCCGTCATTTTCCACTTTATTTTAGCTTTTAGTAGGGGTAAGAGGGGCATAGTGAACAGGTGGGGCATAGTGAGCATCCAGCTTGAACTTCCGGCTGTTCGGAAAAAAAATTGTTGGTGGTAGGATCAATATCATAATGATATTGAACCTACTACCAGTTGATTTGTTTCATGCAGCTGGAGATCCAAAGCCAAACTGCGGGATGCTCACTATGCCCCTCTTCCCCCTATTTATTTATTTATTTGTCAATCAAATAAAAAAAAACAATAAACACATTCACTAACCTGCAAAGAGATCCGGCTTCGAATTCCCCGCCGGGATCCAGCTTCGGACTCCCTACCGGGATCCGGCTTCGCACTGGTGCACTTTCCTAAAAAAAAACATAATTACAGTACATTAATTTAAAATTTTAAATTTTACTTACCTGAAAAACAGCCTTCCTTTTCCAAGGGCGATCGCGGGACTCGCAATCTTCGAAACTGGCGGGGGTCCAGGTGTGGGAGCTGCCTTCCTGGCACGTCGGTAGCATTGGTGCTCAGCACGGAAAACAAGATCGACGGAAAAAACAAACCAAAGGATTTGCCGCAACGCCGGACACCGAATCGCCACCAAAACTCGCGACGGACACCGCGAAAAAAAAAACTGTACACGGCCAATGTGATCAACCCAAATTTGAATACAGTGTGTACTCAAAATCGCAAAAAATGCAGGAACGCAGCGATGAGTAAATTTGCCTCGAGATTTGCCTCATGTTTTCCGGTGGAAAACTTCAAAAATCTTCCGGAAAATTAGGATTGACGAAAATCCACAGAATCCAATCTTTACTTTTCTTATATTCGGAAAAATTTTACTGGAAAAACCTGGAAAACCTGGAAAAACAGAGGTAAATTAACTCAAAACTGAGTTCCTGTACTTTTTGCGATTTATGAGTGAACTAAACTCAAATTTGGGTGTTCTCATTCGCCGTGTAGTGCTGACTCAGGACAAAACAAACTTTGCATGCGACGAGGGACCGAAGGACAAAAATTTACATCGTGATGAAGTTTGATTCTAATGTAACGTTAGGTTCTGTTGTCATTGGATGTATTCTGATGTTTTATGCGTGCAACAAATTACATCGTGATGAAGTTTGATTCTAATGTAACGTTAGGTTCTGTTGTAATTGGATGTATTCTGATGTTTTATGCGTGCAACAAATTACATCGTGATGAAGTTTGATTCTTATGTAACGTTTGGTTCTGTTGTCATTGGATGTATTCTGATGTCAAATTTTACATCGTCAAGACGTTTGATTCTGATGTAACGTTTGAGGCTAATGTATTTTTATGTACTTGGATGTCACACTGAAGTCTGAATACATTAAGGGTACAGCAATACACATTAAAATTTAATGTATTGAAGATGTCTGCTGATGTTTCCTACATTACAATTTCTATTCGGGCTTACCCGAAAATCATTCATAAATCAAGCTTATGAAATTCATATATGTTGTTCATAAGTCGAGCCTTATGAAATTCTAAGGTCTATTTGCCTCAATGAAAGTCACTGCAAAACTGTTTGACAAAGTGGTCAATTAACCACTTTGTCCGAGCAATTAAAATGACGTTTACTACCACTCGAACTTTGAAATAAAACATTATTTTGAGATTTTTTTTTTTTAGAACCTCGAGAAAAGTAGCCAACATTTGTGCGTTTCATAAAAAAATAGAAATTATTTGGTTCAGTTTTGTGAAATCGCTGGTAGACAGTCACGGCAAAACTGCTTGACAAAGTGGTCAATTATTTTTTCGGAATGGAACAAATTTAAAACTGCTCGAATAATGTGACATTCTCGGATTCACTTGACCCTAATATCTGGTAGCACTGTAGCACATGTCGAATGCGAATATTGCGAATGGGAGGAGAGCGAATGTCAAAATTGTTTACGTAAAAGTGTAAAACTTTTCTGTTCCGGTGCGCCGATCCCGTTTGCAGTTTTATCGCAAATATTAATTCAAACGCAATGTTTAGTGTAGGAAACCTACTTAGGAAAACACCTCTCATAGGTAAGAACCTGATGAAATAGAAAATTTGTTGCAACTTTATTGACTATCGATCAAATTCCAGTCTCTGTGAGACATGCGTCGAAGAAAACCGGTGGCAGTACTAGAAACCCATCTGATCACGGTCGACCAAAACATCGCGGATGGAAGGTGCAAGATGGTCATTTCGTATCTGCTGGTACCATCCTGGCCACTCAACGTACCCCACGATTTCATCCGGGTTTGAACGTAAGTACGAATTATATATGGTACATCACATGGAAGCACTTTTCAATACCTAATTGCTATTGCAGGTTGGATTTGGCAAGAACGGAACCATCTTCGCTCTTGAACATGGTAAAGTATGCGTAACTTGCGAAAAATTGGAGCCAAACTGGGATCATACATGGGTTCAGCGGATCTATGCCGGTCGAGAAAATCAAACGATTTATAAGAAATTTTTCAATGTAATTCCGGTTGAACAGCATCAGCGGTTCAAGTTGATCGAAGAAGTTTGAATAAATTGTTTTACGATGAGTTAATTTTAGAAGCGTACTGTATACCTAGCTTTCAGAATCATGAGGGCCTAACTGCAATGTATGATTTTCTATTTTGTTAATAACTCGGTTGGATTATTAAACCTCGGAAAAAAATTTCCCTTAACAGTAGCAGTATCAGCAAATCATTGCAGCTAGGCCCTTATGATTTTGAACGTTGTTCTTTCGCATTTGACTTATTTCGAAGAAGTAGCCTTATTAGTTATGCTTTCAAAACCAGCAGCTTTCATTATCCACAATGAATCGCATCATTTGAGTAGTTTAAAATTATATTTTCAACCACTCGAACAACATTGAGATTTTTTCTTCGAGACCCAAAACATCTACCATTCAATTATTGCCTCATTTTCAACAGCTAAGTGTAAAATTTAAGACTTATAAATTTTTAGTAACTTGACAATGCTTTCCTTTGTAACTGTAGTATATGTATGTCGTCTGTATAATCTGTACTTTTTTTACAACACATCATTGGGACTATTTCTAGTCTGTTGATGCAACCATAACAAATAAACAAATAAATTTTCTTAAATCTCTGCTAGTAGGTTATCCCAAAACCCTTCGACTATGTGATTTAGGACAAGGTGGAGTCAGATGGATCGGCTAGTACATTTCTAACGTTCAGAATCTTAAGCGACTAACTGCGATCGATTTTATCATTTGTTAATAACTCGGCTGGATTAACATATCTCGTTGCGTTGAATGTTGCTTTTGCTAGCTAATATAACCTTTCAGTACACTTTATTGTAATAATTTCCGAAAATTGAACTGTGATAATGCAACGAGAAAATTGATCAAGAGAATCGTTCATTGCAGTTAGGCCCTTGTGATTCTGAAAGCTATATTTGTTTGTCAAAATCAACAGGTTCGATGAACCCCCAATGGTAGTGGTCAATCAAAAAATTAAATAAATCAAGTAAATTACCCATCTTGCAAGACCTTTCCTTACATAATCAATCTTTAAAATCCAAAATTAGGGGATTAATTAATTCGGCATGGGCCAAATTTGTGTTTTTCAGATAAAATAGGACTCTAGTAACCTCATTTTATTGTGGTTAATCAAAACTCAAAGTATAAAATTTGGAGTGCAGTTGAAAGAAAGGGATTGTAGAGCGCACTACCCACTGGATAATTCTGAAGTCTGACCAAGTAAGTGATTTATGGGTTTATTTGATTGTACGACATTTCCCTGAAAACGTATATGGCCAATATCAATAGCGCAAAATAAAATAATTGCAAAATTCTAATTATTTGAATTAAATTACTGTGTGCAGGTAAGTTATGCAAATTTGTGTATACTTTTTTTTCTAGTTATATATTAATACTGCCATTTGGTATTTGGGGTAAGACAGATATACGGAAAGCGTACTCTAATAAAATCATATAACTATTTCACAAATGTTTTGGATGATACCCTGAAAACGTCGTTAAGCAAAATAACCATACAATTTTTTTTTTTTTTTTTTGCTGCTCCTCTTTTCCCTGGCTTAGACCGTGTGACGGTCCATCTCGCCAATTAGGTAGTCTCTTTATTTGTTCGTATAGTTGTTGCTTTCCATGGTGGTGTTGTGTATGATGGTCCTTGATGTTCGGCTCTATACCGTTATTTTCGCCTCCTCGAGAAACTTTACTACTGATTTTAATTCCTTTTCGTCCCCCTCTTTAAGTATTTGTGTCAGCGGTTTTCTATCTTGCAGTAATTTGTAATTCGATCTTATCATGTCCCACTTGGTGCAGTGGAATAGTAGATGTTCAATATTTTCTTCTTCTTGACATATTTCACAGTTGCTATTTGCCTCCCAACCCCATTTATGTTTCCTGTCCTTCGTTAAGCAGTGATTTGATCTTATCCTGGTAAGCATTATTTTTTCTTTCGTGGTCAGTGCCATGTCCTTGAACCAAACCTTCGACCCTGGTACCTCTGCAAATTCGTAATGCTTTACTCCTTTTTCCTGGGACAATTTTTGATACTCTTCTATCCAGCTGTTCCATATATCCTCTTTTGCTACGTTGATGGTATCCTGTAGTGTTAGTTTTCCAAAGTTTGACTGCTCTCTCTTCGTAGTTTCAACCGCTATTTTATCCGCGACTTCGTTCCCTGACACGCCGACATGACTAGGAACCCATTGAATTCTATATTCCCACTTGTTATTACGTGCTTTGTGCAATAACTGGATAATTTCTAGAACGAAGTGGTTGTTTATTCCATTGTTCGTAGTTTTAAGTGTTGAACAAGAGCTTTTTGAGTCTGTGACAATTACGACCCATTGTAACTGTTCCTCTATTGCCATGTTTATCGCTTCTCGGATTGCCATCAACTCTGCATTCATTATATTAGTTTTCGGATTGATCTTCTCTGCTATTCTATGTCCACTTACTAGGTCTACTGCTGCTATTGCTGTTCCGTTATGGTTTTTTGACGCATCCGTAAAAATTTTCCGAAACATACTGTATTTGTTATTCATCATTTCTGCAACTATTGCTCTCCATTGCTCCTGATTTAAGTTTTCCTTTTTCTCCTTATTGTTTGGTATACCGTCCTGTATCCATCCAGTTATTTCATCGCAGTTGTTTAACTCCTGAATGCAGTTTTCTGGTCTCTCAGTTAGTACATACATGATATCTATGTGTTTTTCTGCTAGCTCCGTCATATACGTGCCATTTGTGGACTCATTGTCAAGTGCTTTGTATATGAATTTTTTGTTTGGATTACTTCCGTGTTTGATTTTTATAGTTTCTTTCAAACTTAACCATTCTATTCTTTTATTCATCGACAATAACCCACTATCTGCTAGCATTACATTAATAGGTGTGCTTTTAAGGTATCTCATTGCAACTCGTATGTATGCGTTTTGGACCGTTTCTATTTTTTGTAGATTCGTTTTTGCAGCATTGCCGTATACGATTGCTCCATATTCTAACTTGGACCTAACAATAGCATTTCCTATTTTTAACACAGTTTCCGGATTAGCAGGGCTTTTTTTGTAGGAAATCATTTTCAGAAGGTTTAGGCTTTTCTTGGCTTTGGTTGTTACCTCTTCTATGTGCTTTTTGTGTATGAGGCCTTTATCTAGCGTATATCCTAAGTACTTATGGGTATTATTAACTTCGATCCTTTCTCCCTGCACCTTAATATTAAGCTTGTGATCTGGTATTTTGCTGTAGTTCACAACTGCACACTTAGCTGGATTCATTTTCAATTCCAATCCCTGAAGTCTCGTTCTGACTACCTCGATACATCGATTCGCTTTTTCTACTATTTCCCCGCTATCTCCTTCTATCATCAGCGCAAAGTCGTCTGCAAACTGCGTCAGGAACACTCCTTCTTCTATTTCTTCGTGAAGATCAATCGTGTATAGATTGAATAACACTGGTGATAAAGGGCAACCCTGGGCTAGTCCTCTGTTGACTGTTACTGTTACCTCTCGTTCTTGGGCTGTTATTTTCATTATTCTCTCGTTCAAATATTCATATATCCATCTTCTAATTTCCCACGGAATTTGCAATTTTTCCATTTTGTCCAGCAATATTTGACAGTTTACTGAATCAAACGCTTTGTCCACGTCCAGGAAGAATACTACGCAGTTTTTCTTCTGTGCTTTTAGTTCCTTGATGGAATTGACTATATAGTTTACGCTGCTTATTGCCGAATACCCCTTTCTGAATCCGAACGACAGTGGTGGTAGTAATTCCATCTCATCTGTATACTTCGCAAGTCGGTCTTTGACTACAGTGTTAATTGTTTTTAGAAACACGTTCATCAACGCAATTCCTCTCTTAGCCGTGATATCATTTGGGTCTCTATTGGGTTTTTGTATTAATACCATCTTGCTAATCCGCCATCGTTCAGGAATTTCGATTGCTAGCCATACTGCATTTAGTTGTACACTTATTTCGCTTATCATTCCGATATTTAATCCCATACAAGATGATATGATATATGGTCTACACCTGCAGCAGAGTGATCTTTCTTGCTTTTTATTACCTTGAAAATTTCCTCGAAATTTAGTGATTCTCCCATGTACGCTTTTTCTTGTTGTATTCCGTGTTTCCATGTCAGATTTTCTGTTTTTTTGACATAATTCCTTCTCATAAATTCCATCGCTGTGTTTAGGGACGGTGAATGGTCCGCTCCTTTTTTTGATCCTGTAAGTGCCGTGTCCAATCCTCGAATTATGTTCCAAATTTGCTTCGGTGGGGTTGATTCCTCTATTTTTTCCTGTAGTTCGTGTACATATTTCCGTTTTTCCTTCCTGACTAGCTTCTTGAACACCGCTCTAGCTTTCTGCATCTCCTTTTGGTTGTTTAATGATTTTTCTTTGTTGAAGTTTCTTAGCCTTTTCCTCTTTTCATTGTATGCTTTTTGTAAATCTTTGTTCCACCACGCTTTCAGAAAATCTGCCTTTTTATTCTTCACTACATAACTAGCTGCCTCTATTTGTTCCTCGAATACTTGTTGCATTTCTTCCGGGGAGTATAGGTATTGCGGTCTTAGTGAGTTTAGTCCTTCTATTGCTCGTTGTACATTTACTTTCTTTCGTGTGCCCCACGATATCGGTGCTTCAGATTGTATTGTCATGCTGATGCAGAGATGCATACTACCGAACTCTTCTTGTAGCACATTCCAATTCGTCAGTGATGCTAGGTGGCTTGTCGCGAATGACAGATCGATGGCCGTGGGAGATGAGTTGATCCTAGGAATCGTAGTACTCTGTCCGTCGTTCAACATTACCAGCTTTGAGTTTGCCAGTTCGTTCGCCATAGCAGTGCCTTTCGCGCATGGTTTAACCCCATCGTCCCACATGGGGTGCCTTGCGTTGAAATCTCCCGTTAACATTATTTCTCCATCCATTCTTTCGATTAGACTGAAAATCTCTCCAAATCTCTCAATTTCCTTTTTGGCTAGCCTACTATCCGGTGGCACGTATATCGAGAATATTGTAAAGTTTACCGACAGGCTCTTTGTTCGTATTGCTACTACTTCTACTGGTTCGTAGGTGCCTAGTTTTATCTCTTCGTAATTGACGTCTTCCCTGATCAAAATTCCTACTCCTCCGAATCCTTCATCTCTACACCTCTGCACCAATCTGTAACCTTTTATCCTGAAATTTTCATTTGGTTTCAACCAAGTTTCTTGTAAACTAGCTATTATAATTTCCTCCTTTTTCAAAAACATTGATAACTCTTCTCTTGTTTCTATAGGCCTTAAAGATTGTATGTTATTCTGCATTATTTTTATGTTCTTATCCATTTTTCTCCATATTCTCGTGTGTAACTTCTTTGTCTTCTGTTATAGATGCTAGTTCATTAGTGATGTCTTCGATGATTTCTTGGATTGTGGTACTGATTCTGATGATGAGTTCCTCATAAGCAATTGCCGATGCCTCCTTGGTAATGATTTCTGCATTGATTCCCGAGTGCAGCCTCATTAATTTCCTGATTACGTCCAGATTCCTCCAAAATCGCTTCATTTCCGTTATTGTTCTTTCCCATTGGTCCACCTTGTATGGGTTCTCGTTGAATTGATGAGGTACATTTTCATTCATAACCACCTGTGCATAGTTTGGACGTCGTTGTTGTTGTTGTTGTTGTTGGGATCTTGTTCCATTCCTTTGAACCAGTACAGTCTTGTACTGCGATCCCGGATTTGAATTTCGCTGTTGTGTCAGATTAGGAAACTCCACTTCATCGTCCGGTAGGATGTCGAATGTGTTTTCTTGTGTGCATTTCTTCTTCGCTTCATTGAACGTTATCTTATCCCTTTGCATGATCTCCGAAATCTGTCGTTGTTCCTGTCGCATTGGACAGAATCTCTCTGTTGCTTTGTGGTTACCTCCGCAATTTATACACTTAACCGTTACACAGTCCTCCTGATTATGCTCCTGTCCGCAGTTTTTACATTTTTCAGCTCTTTTGCATTGCTCCTTCTTGTGTCCATATCCCCAACAGTTCGCACATTGCTTTACCGGAAATATGTACAGTTCGACTTTGAATTTGCATCCAAAGATCATGATGTTGTCTGGGTGCTTGCTTCCTTTAAATGTAATCTTTACATTGTTCGTATCTAACAGCTTCCCTTCTTTGTTCCTTTTCTTCATTCTTTCCGCTTTCAATACTTCTGTGTCCGATTCCATGTTCTCCATCAACTCGTCTTCGTTGTATTCTCTTGGGATTCCCTTGACCAATCCAATCGTCTGTCTCAGCACGAACGGTACGAAACATTTAAGATTTTGCTGCTCCAGCTTCTCGCCTCTCAGCACGTTGGCAGCAGCTTCTGACTCAAACGTGACTTTGAATCTTAGTCTTCCTACCCTGACAATGTCCAGATAGTTGATCTTTCTTGAATTTAGTACTCGTGCCACTTCAATCGGGAATCTTGCCGTTTGTTTCTCGAAGTCAGCTGGTTCCATAAATACCACGTCCATCACACCATTCGTGTTTGTCCTGGTTGAGGTTTCTGCAGTTTGATTGTCCTGTTGAGTGCTGGTTCTGTTCGATGTTGATTTTTTTGTTTTCTCCACATTTTGTCCTCCTGGTTTCACTGCTTGCTGCGTTTCTCCGATTTTATACTGCTTTCTGGTCACGATGTTTGATTTCATTTTGTATCTTCTTTTATTGCTCTCTAATTTCTAATTGTAATGACTTGTTTTGTATTCTTCACTTAACCTAACACTGTTTTTTTTTCGCTTAACCTAGTACTGTTTTTCTCTTCTTCTTCTTAATACTATTCGTCTTCTCCTTCTCAGCCCGCAACTTAATTTGATCACTTTTCTTCTAATTTCTTGTTTTGGTTCGTACAGAATCTTCTTCACTTGGTCTCTATGTTTAATTTATGTTATTTCACTATCTGGCAAATTGTGGGTGGATGATGTTTATCTTCTCACTCACTTTGTTTTGGTTTTGGTGTGTGAAATTAATGACCATACAATTTTTATTATGGTAACCCATGTAATGTTTTCCATTTATCAAGTAGTTCAGATAGGCTAGAAATGACAGGTTCATAGTTAGAGAGAAAAAAAAATTGCTTTAAATTCTATTGATGTAAAACCACAGACAAACAGACAACACTCGCCAGTTATTCATCGAACACGCATTTAACGGTAAACTTAAACGATTTTTAGTTTGTAGTACCGCCACCTGAGGCGCGCATAGTGAATTCCCCGAGGAATTCCCTTCACGGTAACCGCAAAATACCCAATAATGACTATAAAAGACTCGATATTGACTACAAAGTATGCATTTGCAAGGGAGACTGGAACTACCCATTAAATGAGTAAAAAGATTACCAATTTATGAGTATTTGTTACTCACAAATGAATGCTTACTACTTATTTTTGTAGTTGTAATTATTCATAAATGGGTACAATTTTACTCATTTAATGGGTAGTCCCAGTTTCCCTCGAAAATGCTTACTTTGTAGTCATTATTGGGTATTTTGCGGTTACCGTGTTCTTCAGCGTACTGCCCATCACAGTATACTCAACAGATGGCGGTAATGTTTCACTATAGTGACGATGTTTTATAGTGAAAATCAAGCTGGACATTGCATTAAGTCCTAAGTAACATTGACAGATTCTCTTCGTCGACATTCTCTTATATATTATATTCCCACAGCCATGTAAAGACATTCCCAGGTATTTTCAGCACACATATCGATAAAAGAAGCTTTTATCTAGCATCTAATACGACAAACACAACAAGAAACGGTACATTTGATTTTTTCTTGACTCAAGCATCGTACAAGTAGAAGAATATAGTTTTACCACAGACAAACAGACGTAACACATTGAATATTTCAAGCTGAACATTGTTCGATGCACATCAGGCATAACATTTGATAACGGCACAAAAGCATTTGTAAACAAACTTTCTTAAGCCCTTTACACCTCACGTGAACCAAAGTACACCCAAGCAAACCAACAACATCATCGGATAGGGGAAACTATCACTATCACCTTTCTGAAAGTGGTATTGGTTTGCGTGGGCGTACTTTGGTTCACGTTTAAAGGGCCTTATAACTCTGTAGTCTGAACGTACTATAAATGCTGTCCAGACAGGAGAGTTATAACATGTTATAACGGTTGTCAAATAATTGCAACACAGAAACCACCATCAAGATAGCGCTATAACATGTTATAACTCTGTAGTCTGAACGTACTATAATAGTACGTTCAGACTACAGAGTTATAACATGTTATAGCGCTATCTTGATGGTGGTTTCTGTGTTGCAATTATTTGACAACCGTTAGAACATGTTATAACTATCCAGTCTGAACAAGGCATTATGCCTTGTTCAGACTACAGAGTTATAACATGTTATAGCGCTATCTTGATGGTGGTTTTTGTGTTGCAATTATTTGACAATCGTTATAACATGTTATAACTCTCCAGTCTGCACAGCGTTTTTAGCGAGAAGTTCGTTTATGTTGCCGTGGTAAACCAAAGAGAAAGTCGATGAAGATAATCGATCAACTTAGATAGGCTCTTTTCAAATGTTACGCAACAGTCCATAAATGAAATATTTCACAGAGTCGTATACCACTGAAAATGTAGATGGCGCGTTTGATGCATTGGTGACAAAAATAGTTGCGGCTGGAAAACTAGGGCCTTACTTGCTTCAAGCAAAAGTGACGCCATTTTTGCACCATCTTTTTCATTCGATTATTTACAAGTGAAAATTCTATAAATTCCCAGTGAAAACCGTCTCAGATCGGATGGAAAATATGCTCTAACCATGGATTCCGCCTTCCTGCAGTTCATCGAGGTGGACAACTTCAAGTCCTACCGTGGCAAAGTCACGATAGGACCGCTGAAAAAGTTCTCCGCCGTTATCGGGCCAAATGGGTCTGGTAAGTGGCGGCTAGTGTAGAACATTTTGCATTCGAGATGCAAATGTTTTTGTTTGTTTTTTTTTAGGAAAATCCAACTTCATGGATGCTATCAGTTTCGTGATGGGAGAGAAAACAACCAGTCTGCGTGTGCGGAAGTTGAACGAATTGATCCATGGTGCCTCGATTGGGCGACCCGTTTCCAATCGAGCCTCGGTGATGGCAAAATTTATCATCACCGACCAGGAGGGCAATCAGACGCACAAGAGTTTCCAACGTTCGGTGATTGGGTCTTCGTCGGAGTACCGAATCAACGGAAATGTGGGTGTTGCTTGTGTGGGGGTGAACTCTTGTTTGTAATGCATTTCTTTTGCTGTTTAAGGTGGTAGTAACGAGCGTCTATCTGCAGGAGCTGGAGCATATAGGAATAAACGTGAAAGCGAAAAACTTCCTGGTTTTCCAGGGAGCGGTTGAGAGTATTGCAATGAAAAATGCCAAGGAACGAACAGCTTTGTTTGAGGAAATCAGTGGGTCGGGTTTGTTGAAGGAGGAATATAATAAACTGAAGCATGATATGCAGATGGCAGAGGAGGAAACGCAGTTCACTTATCAGAAGAAGAAGGGAATTGCAGCCGAGCGCAAGGAAGCCAAACTGGAAAAGCAAGAGGCAGATCGTTATGCGCGGCTGAAAGATGAGTATGCTGACAAGCAGATACAGTATCAACTTTACAGGTTGTATCATAATGAGAAGGAAACCAAACGACTGTATGAAGATATGGAAAGTAAGCAGCAGGATTTGTCGCTGATTGAAAAGAAGAAGGAGGAAGCAGACGATGTGCTAAAAGAGAAAAAGAAAGAGGCAGGAAAAACCGCAAGGGAGCTGGCTAAAATAGAACAGGAGATTCGTGAGGTAGAAAGTGAAATGAGCAAGAAGCATCCAATGTTTATTAAAGCAAAGGAGAAGGTAGCACACACTAAGAAGAAGCTTGATAGCGCAATGAAAACATTGGAGCAGGCTCGCAAGGCGGACGAAGCACATCAAGCTGATATTCGTAAGTTGGATGACGAACTGCAAGGTATCGAAAGCAAGATGAAGACATTTGAAGATGAAATTGCTGGAGAGTCGAAAAAGCGTGGCAGTAATGTTCACCTAGAGCAGAACTTGGTTCAGGAATACGATCGATTGAAGCAGAAAGCTGATGCAACCTCCGGTAAATATCTAATCAAGTTGGATTCCGTCAATCGGGAGCAAAAGTCCGATCAAGATTTGTTGGACAGTGAGACGAATAAGAAGGCTCAGATTGATGAAAATTACAAAAAGTATCAATCGGAGATGAACGAAGCCATCAAGCGTCAGGAAAAACTGATCGATCACATTAAAGCGAGCAAAGTTGCTCTGGAAGAGCAAAACCGAATGAAGCAAGAGCTCAGCCAGGATGTTGGTTCGTCGAAAGAGCGAATTATAGAGCTGCAAGCTGAGTTGGATGACGTCCGAGAGCAGTTGGGTGATGCCAGAATAGATAAGCACGAAGATGCTCGTCGCAAGAAGAAACAGGAAGTGGTCGAATTGTTCAAACAGGAAGTACCGGGGGTATACGACCGCATGATCAACATGTGTCAACCTACACACAAACGATACAACGTAGCCGTAACGAAGGTGCTTGGCAAGTATATGGAAGCCATCATTGTCGATACGGAGAAGACCGCCCGCCGATGCATTCAAATTCTGAAGGAAAAGATGCTGGACGTGGAAACATTCCTTCCATTGGACTATCTTCAAAAGAAACCACTCAAGGAGCGACTTCGGTAAGTGCGAAAACTTTACTTAAAATCTGAATCCCTAATGGCTCCATAATCCTTTCAGAAACATCGAAGATCCGCGTAATGTTAAGTTGATCTATGATGTGCTCAAGTTTAGTCCCCCGCAGATCGAACCGGCAGTTCTGTTCGCCACCAATAACGCTCTAGTGTGCGAAACTCCGGATGACGCTATGAAGGTTGCGTATGAAATCGATCGCAGCAGATACGATGCACTGGCATTGGACGGAACATTCTATCAAAAATCCGGCATCATTTCCGGTGGTAGTCACGATCTTGCTCGCAAGGCCAAACGCTGGGACGAGAAGCATATGGCTCAGCTTAAAGCGCAGAAGGAAAAGATAACCGAAGAGTTGAAAGAAGTAATGAAGAAAACGCGCCGTCAAGGCGAACTGACCACCGTTGAGAGCCAGATCCGGGGTCTCGAGAATCGACTCAAGTACAGTCAGAACGATCTGGATGCATCGAAAAAAACCATCAAGGAATACGACCGAAAGTTAGCAAAACTGCAGGAAGAGTTGGATCAGATTGGTCCAAAGATTAGCGAAATCGAACGTCGCATGCAGCAGCGTGATTTGAAGATACAGGAGATCAAGGAAAACATGAACAACGTCGAGGATGACGTTTATGCCGAGTTTTGCGCCCGTCTTGGAGTGGCTAATATTCGTCAATTCGAAGAACGAGAGCTAGTGCTGCAGCAGGAAAGGGCCAAGAAGCGTGCCGAATTCGAACAGCAAATCGATCGTATCAATAACAATTTGGAGTTTGAGAGATCCAAGGACACTTCCAGTAAGTAGATAGTATTAATTATTCCTGAATAGGTTTTAATCTGTGTCATTCGTAGAAAATGTACAACGATGGGAGCGCGCTGTCCAGGACGATGAGGATTCACTTGAGACGTTCAAGCAGGCCGAAGTACGCCAACGGCAAGAAATCGAGAAAGATCGGGAGCGCATCGAAAAGATGAAAGTCGACAAGAATGCGAAGAAGGGCGCCGTCGATAGTATGGAAGAGGAAATGGCCAAAGCCCGTCGAGACGTTCAACAGCAAGCCAAGGAGTTGGCTGTCGTTAACCAGCAAATATCCGGCATCGAAGGCAAGATCGAAACGATGAAAAACAAGCGGCACAACCTGTTGATGCAGTGCAAAATGGATGCAATCGAAATACCAATGAAACGGGGCAAGATGAATGACATTGTCGAATCAGCAGCTAACGATTCGGAAACGACTCCCCTAAGTACGGTCTACGAGCGTGAAGCTAAAATCGAAATCGACTACAGCTCCTTGTCGAAGAACTTGACAAATCCAACGGAACCGGATCAGGTCAAGAAGGTTGGCGATGGTTTGGCAAGGGAGCTGCAGTCAAAACTGGACACATTGGAGAAGATTCAAACACCGAACCTCAAAGCGATGCAAAAGCTAGATCGAGTAACGGAGAAGATTCAAACCACAAACGAAGAATTCGAGGCGGCCCGTAAGAAAGCCAAGAAAGCTAAAGCAGCTTTTGAGAAAATCAAGAACGAACGGTGCGCACTGTTCACAAACTGTTGCAACCACATTTCCGATGCAATCGATGGCATTTACAAGCAGCTGGCACGTAACGAAGCAGCCCAGGCCTATCTCGGGCCGGACAATCCAGAGGAACCGTATCTCGATGGCATCAACTACAACTGCGTCGCACCCGGTAAACGTTTCCAACCGATGAGCAATCTGAGTGGAGGAGAGAAAACCATCGCTGCGCTGGCCCTGCTGTTTGCCATTCACAGCTTCCAACCAGCCCCATTTTTCGTGCTGGACGAGATCGACGCTGCGTTGGATAACACAAACATCGGGAAGGTGGCTTCGTACATACGAGAGAAGTGCACCAATCTGCAAACGATTGTAATTTCGCTGAAGGAAGAGTTCTACAGCCATGCCGATATATTGATTGGTATCTGCCCTGAGCCGGCCGAATGTCTCGTTTCACAGACGCTGATCTACGATTTAGAACAGTTTCAACCCCATTCCTAGACGTAGGGACAATTATATTAGATTAATCGCTACTAATAACATTGAATGTTCTTCTCTATAGTTCTACAAATTGAATAACATTTTTACTTCGAATCTTCCTTGGTTGGTATGATGGTATGGTGTAGAGTCGGTGTATAATGAGTCACGCCAAGAGAAAAACAGTTGAACTCGCATCACGGTTTTCGAAAGATTCCCTTTCTTTTAACTTGGCAACAGAGGACTTCTGCATCAACTTCAAATGACTTCTAGCGAGGAAAAAAATTAACGGCTGTAGTAAATCATTCCCCCTTATTCTGCGAGTCACGTGACTCTCTGTCACCGGTGAGGTGACAATTGTCACCTCGTGTGAGGTGACTCTCCATTTGATTTACATGGAGAGTCACCTCACACGAGGTGACTATTGTCACCTCACCGGTGAGAGAGAGTCACGTGACTCGCAGAATAGGGGGGATTATATCAGTGCTAACATTTGAAAACGGCGCAAAAGCCATTTGTAAGCAAATGGTTTGTGGGCCCTTTACTCGCTACCCGAAGAACGCCCACGCAAACCAACAGCATCGTCAGGAAGGGAAAAATTTCCCCTACTCGATGTTGCTGTTGTGTCGCGTGGGTGTACTTCAAGTAGTGAGTAAAGGGCCCACAAACCATTTGTTTACAAATGGCTTTTGTGCCGTTTTCAAATGTTAGCACTGATATCAGTGATTTTGTCCAATTATCTTAAGGAAAAATAGTAGAAATTGTCATTACTGATCATTACAAAACGTATCGCATGACAAATGTAATGCTCACTGTGTGTATATGATCATTTCTTCGGTTATATTTAATATTTAATTGCAATACCTTCCGTGTACCTTTCATAGCATCGTAATGCTTGTTTACTTTGCACGATAGGTAGCCGGTTTGACAGTTCAATAGGTAGACTTGGCTTCACTCTTGGCGTGACTCATTATACACCGACTCTAGTATGGTGTACCAACTCTGGCAATAGCTTCGAAGCTCGTGATTAGAAAAGGAAAGTGTACACATCATGCGTTTGACACTACTTACCATTAAAGCCCTACAGTAAAAGTATGGACGTCTGTCAAAAGTTGTTCCAATCGAACCGTCAAAATGCACCGCTTTGCTCGATTGGAACCAAGGTGACTACATATAGGTGTTCTAATGTGTCAAATTCATGATTCAGCCATGTTGGGCTTTTGCATGGGACAGCGACCGAGTTTGTTTACAATTTGCTCTAAAACCGCACTTTTTCCACCCGCGACCTCCTCACCTATATAGTGACAAAGCTGTATCACCATTTATATACCCACCATGATTGAAACAGCTTTTTTCCACGGGACAAATGTTTCCACTATGGGATTTCACAAATTTGACAGTACCCTTTTAACTGGTCTATAAATTTATGGTCCATAACAAACTTGAACAACACATACGAACTTTGCGGCTGAATTGCATATTTTACAGCTGTCGCTTACACCGCATGTGTTTGTTTTGCGTTGGTTGTAAGTGTGTGAGTGAAAAATAGCAGACAACAGAAAAATGCTGGCTTAGCAGCTCCTTGTTTTTTTCAGTTTTGAGGTGACAGTCGTCCATACTTTTACTGTAGGGCTTTACTTACCATCGGTTGTGCTCCAAGGGGGGAGGTGGCTGTCAAATACGAACAATCGTCGCCTACCTCGCATAACCTGGGGGGATGTGCTGTCAAATCAGCCTACTGATCATCTTGTATGAAACTGGTTTCAAACGTAAACAAACGCTGTAGGTTTCTTATGACTTGTTTACGTTTGGAACCAACTAATGAAATTCATATGAAAAATCATATAAAATTAACATGATCGCATAAATGTTATGTGAAATTCAGATGAATTCCATTAATTTTGTTTATGGATGAAAATCCTTTGCGATTCCAATGGAAGCTACATGAAAACTATTTTCGGTGCAGCAGCAGCAATAGAAGCAGCCGCAACCGTGGGAGCTGCATCGCTAATTCGTGTTGCCGTGCCCGAGGCTGGAAACCTCGGTCCGGTCACGACAGGAACATGTAACAAAATTATGAAAGATTTTGAACTCAGCTGTCCCTGGACTAATTTCAATAATTTTATCACCAATAAACCAGAAATGTGTCTACGCATCTGATAAATTTAAGACTTTATCATTTTTCAAAATGTCACATTTGAAAATTGCACGAATGTGCAACTGTTGCTATGATAATTAAAATTATCACCGAATGCCTGTGAAAAGCAATTTTCCTAATACAGATTTCAAAGTTGAACTCCATACGGTCTCACCAAACGGTGTTTATTCAATCACCGCGTGGTGAGTGGTGGTGTTCTCCAGTACACGACCGCTGTTCGGATTCAATTACAATCACTGTGTGTGGTGGTGTCCGGTCGTCGGCATCAGCATCAGCAGCAGCAGCAGTGCTTTCGGCGCCTGGCGTTGAACATTGTTCTCCAGTACACAGCGAAAGGCTGCCTGCAAGCATCGAGCTGCAGCCCACATGAGCATCCATAGAAGGAGGAAGAAGTCGCACCGCTATTGGTCGGAATCAGTAGCTCTTCGTGAGTAGCTGTGGGCCATCTATGTCAAGCGCGTCATTCTAAAGAGTATAAACAGAGAGAACCCCGGTCAAATTCCTATTCCTACACAAAACACAAACTCCTGCTACAGTTAACAAATAAGATTTATTATTTGAGACCACGTTGTCCTACGTCACCATTGCGTACAACCACCGACGAACCGACGTGCCAGCACATAGAAGCTACATTCAAATTCTTGCCCAAGACGCCATATTTAAAATACGTTAAACACTACCGACATCTACTCATCCGCTCGCATCATTTCGTAAGCAAGAATACGTACACACGTACAATTTATATTGACCTCGTTTGACAGATCTGATCGCCCGTTTGAAAGATCGACTCGCTCATTTGACTAATCGAATTGCGGACAAACGAAATGGTCCAGTGGCTGTGGCATGTCGGTTCGTCGGTGGTGTACAACGTACAATGTACAATCCCATAGGGCTGTCCTTTGTAGTTTTTCACCCATTAATGAGTATCTGCTACCCATTAATGAGTGAATCTTACCCCACTAATGAGTAACAGTTACTCATTTATGGGTAACAGATACTCATTAACGGTTAAGACATTTACTCATCAATGAGTGAATCCACTTTTCTTTTAAATGGGTATTTTTTCCCATTAATTGATATTTTCAAGTTAGCGTGTGCACGCTAACTTCTGCTTACTCACCAGGTGAGTCGATCGTACTCACTTTCGTCCGATGTATCGAGTTGTCAAAAATTGAGTAAACTAGAAATGTCAAACTGAGTAAAAGCCACTCAGTCAGCAAAATCCTGGACTTGGAAAAAATGCCAGTCGGAGGGAAAATGTTACTCAAAACCGGCTGAAATGCCTTCAGGTAAGTACGAATTGCTTAGGGAAACGGTGTTGAACCGTGTTTTGCTCCGGTAGAATGAATCCGAAGCAGGCAATTTCCATTTTCTTGAATGAAAATTAAAACAAAAACCCTCCCCGCAACTGAAAATACCGGCGAGTGGATTTGACTCAGTCTACGTGAGAACGAAGTTTACTCAAAAGTGAGTCAACATAAGGCTACTCAATTTTGAGTAGCTGAGATGAGTACCTTCGACTCAATTTTGAGTTGACCAGAATAAGCGTGATGAGCCGCATTTGTAAACTTCCACCTTTCGCACTACCTCTTGAACCATCCGAAATTCAGGGAAAACATGTCAAAAGGGTCTAACTTGAAACATAGACAATGACTTTGATCGTTGATTTCTCACGAAGGATGACACACTCATGGATTTTAATTACATCATCTAATATAACAAACATTTTCTTTCAGATGGTGTAGTTAATTTGCGTAGATGTATTGTCATTCGTGATAAATCGATAATCTTTGTCATTGCCTACGTTTCGAGTTTGGCCCTTATGACTTGTTTTCCGCCCCTGAGCTGTCATCGCAACTCGAGTCGTAATCCTATGTGAATAATAAGAGGCCTGGACCATTAAAGAGAGAGATCTGACACTTTTGCTGTCTTCTTTCTTCCTTCCTTGTGTAACCGTACTGCTAATTTGACGTCACGTAGCTATTGCACGCAGCAACGTATATGAAAGGGATGGCATGTTTACATTGCCGAGCCATTGACATGCAAAATTATTGTTCTATCAGTAGTTTTGCAGGCAAGCTTAAAAGAAATCTGACGAACGAGTCAAAAAGTTAAAGTTGTTTTCTTTTCAATCAAATCAAATTTTTAAAAATCGTCAAAGAAGCTTCAGTAATCGTTTAAATCTGTGATATATTTCCAAGACTATCGTAATTCTTCTAGTGTAACGACTGCGGACACCAAGGAAAAGTCCTAACAAAATGACTAACAAGTACGATGCGTAAGTTTATCGCCATTTATGTGGTTTTATGTTTTTAGGTTATATTTTGGAACTGCGAGGATTGCTTTCAGGATCGTAATATTCTCGCTTCCATTGCAGACTAAAGCCCTACGGTAGCGACAGCGATGACAGTGGTGACGAAGGTACAGATTTTGACGTCGATAAGCTGGAACCGTTGGAGATTGGACCGGGAGAGCACAAGTTACAGTACACGTACTGTCTTTGGTTTGGGAAGAAAGGGTCACATAGGGCTGCGGTATGGAACCATCCTCTGAGCTGTCCGTGATGGGGCTAGTTGAACTTAGCTCTTTTTCTGTTGCATCTTATTTTAGGAATACGGGAAATCGCTACACTTTGTAGGGCGATGTGCCAGTGTAGAGCAGTGGTGGACGCTCTATTGCCATTTAGTTAAGCCTACCGTATTGAAACCGTTCCGAAAGTTACATCTGTTTAAGGTAAGTTTGATTGTATTTTTTATGCTTTTGCATAAGTTAGCTGAATACCTATCCCACGTAACTAATTAGACTGCTTGCTCAAATGAACAGGAAAGGGTAAATCCTATTTTGCCTGATTTTCGCTTCCTTTTTCAGAACAAAGTTGCTGCATTAAGTAGATAGTTTTTAAGCGGTTTCTTCTCACCCTGTGCCGATAACCATCAATTTAAAAAAAATGTATGGACTGTAGACTTTCCGCCAACCACTCCCCCTTAAAGTGTCTACGTAGTTTATGAACAGCACTTTCTTTTTTTTATTTTAATTATAGTCACTCTAACGGTCTTGGGTCATTCGTGACTTGTCCGGGGGTGAGATTTAAACTCGTGACTTTGGCGTGAGAGGTATGGATGCTAACCACTACGCCGGGGTCGCCCATTAACAGCACTTTCTTTTATGTAAGTGAACTACGTAAACAGTTTTAATGCGATTTTTACACCTCCCCTCCCCTCTTGCGCAGATTTTTGTTCATACAATGCGAAACCGAACTTTTTTGTCAGGGCGAACCTCACTCTGAGGAAGGTTTTGAAAAACAAACGATCATACTAATGTGTCATAAAACAGGCCGACTTAAGTGCACCCCACAAGTGGACCCTACACGATTGCTTTTATTGACAATAATCGTATTGTCAATACATTCTATATTGACGTCAATATATCGAGATTGACAATATTTCTGAATTCACATCATCAATATTATTGTCAATAATTCCCCTTCGCGTCAATATATTGATGCGTGTGGGGTTTGCTTAAAGCAAACCCCACACGGTAAGAAATATTGTCAATACTTACAAGTATTGACAATAATATTGATGATGTGAATACAGAAATATTGTCAATACCGATGTATTGACGTCAATATAAAATATATTGACAATACGATTATTGTCAATACAAACAGTCGTGTAGGGTCCACTAAAGGCTCAATTTCACTCAATATTCACTCTACCGATAAAATACGGTTGTTTGCTTAAGTTCATCTAAAACAGATCGAAATGTTGATGTCAAAACTGCATAAGAATTATTCTCATGAGTGCCTGATCATTGAAAAATGACAAGAAAGCTAATGATAGGTAGTTTCGTCTCGTGATGGTGAGAGGACCTATTTTCTCATCGTCACATGACGGCCGTGATATTTACCAGCTCTGCTCAGAACTGACAGCAGTAGAAGGAAAGAAGGATAAACTGTAGAGTAACATTTGAAATAGGCCTATGTCCACAACGTAAACAAATCGGGTTTTGATACCATTCTTTAGCACCGCTTGATAGCTACTAATCGTGTAGGAAAGTTCCGCATAATTGATGAATCTACGTTATGGTCGGCCAGCAGATGGAAATGATGTTAAAATGATAATGATGTTTTGCTAGCTGTCAAATCGTATGGAATATTTTTTAGTACATCATCACTTTTCTGGTTTTGGATTTCAAACCTAGGTGTCGCATGCGCTGTTGCAGTTTCGCGTAGATTCATCAGTCGAGAAAAATCATTAAAAATAACTCGATTTTCGAACCGGCCGATCATCGAAATTTTTCGATTCATTAATAGGCCCGCACGCTAAAACGGCCAACCATTCATTTATTTTATTTCATTAATAGGCCTAGTGACGTAGAAGGGCCGATGATTAAAATTTTTTAAACCAAAGCTAGGCCCTACCAACAATCAATACGAAACTAACGATTTTAAATTGGCTCACTACCTGACTAGCCTATTGGTCCCATGCAAACGATTAAAGTACCCCATTCTAGTCGAAATTCTACTACTACACAATGTTTGTTTTGATTCGCTATGAAAGTTTGACAGATAAAATGAGGGGTTAGTGGATTTTCCCATGTTTCGAGGGGTGAATCGATTAGCTTGGGACCGAAGAGAGTACCAGAGCTGAGCCAAAAATTTGAACACGTTATTTCGGGACCTTCTAGTCTTAGAGTTACCTCTATGGCCCTACTGCTTGAGGCAGGGCCGATGATTTGTTTTGAATTTATTTGACGTTGCGAAAAGGCTTAGCAAAGGGCTACCATTTCTGATGACAGTCACAACGGCTTAACAAAAAGGGCCTATCCAGTGAAAGATTCACTAAAAGGTTTATTAGTTTATGAAATTAAATTGTAATCGATTTTCATATATATTTTTGAATGTTGTATACTGATATACAGTTACTATTGTTATTGTGAACAATATAAATGCCAAAAATACTTCAATTTTCTTAAATATGAATTGAATAGTGTCGGAAAAATTTAAAATTCATTTTTTGGTTTGTTTACGTTTTGGGCATAGGTCCATTTCAAATGTTACTCTATAACTCTAAGAGAAGAGGTGACAATTAGGTTTTGCACCGTCGGGGTTAACCTCAATCTGATGACAGTTCAGTGGTACTGTTTACGTGGACTTAGTCGATTTTTTCTTGGGTGGATTTTCTCGATAATTTTTCAGACTGCAGTGAGATGTAAACCACACTTCTTCATGTCCAAGAGCAACATCCTTTCAACGCGCTGTTCCTCGACAATTTTCATGTTAAATTTCGGAAATTTTAGAATTTTTTTTTTCGAAAAAACGACTAAGTGCTTGTAAACAGTACCACTGAACTGTCAAAAAGGTTCAGCCGATTAACACTGAGTTCATTCGTGACGTCACGCTGCAGAACCTACTACACTCAGAATCATTCATGTTACGCTCAGCTGTCTGTTTTGCTCAATTCTGCGTTCATCTAAGAAAATAAAAAGCAATGCGAATACGAACGAAATTAGGTTCTGCAGCGTGACGTCACAAATGAACTCAGTGTTAATCGGCTGAACCTTTTTGACAGTTCAGTGGTACTGTTTACAAGCACTTAGTCGTTTTTTCGAAAAAAAAAAAATCAAAAATTTCCGAATTTTAACTTGAAAATTGTCGAGGAACAGCGCGATGAAAGGATGTTGCTCGTGGACATTGCAGAAGTGTGGTCTGCATCTCACTGCAGTCTGAAAAATTATCGAGAAAATCCACCCAAGAAAAAAACGACTAAGTCCACGTAAACAGTACCACTAAACTGTCATCAGATTGAGGTTAACCCCGACGGTGCAAAACCTAATTAGTGCGGCTCACACAAGGTGCTGTTCGTTTTTGATGTTGTATGCGTGTGAGTGAGTGGTAAATGTAAAATGAAACGATTTTGCTTGAGTGGAGGTTCTCCGATCTTGAAGTATTCCGGTAGTGACTCCAGCACCATCCAAAAGTATTCCAGTATCATCCCAGATTACAGTTATACTTGGAAACGGTCACCACCTTGATGTCCTCGCTCATCCCGCGTTATTTTTTGACCGATTTTTAGCTAATGTTTTGAAAATATTTGCACTATCACAAAATTCATGAAAAGTAATTAATGATCGATTTTTTTAATCTTTATTAAAGAGATTTTTAGCCTTAGGCTAGTTCATCTCTAAATTAATGATAGATGGTATTTTCTAAGAATTGATTTTTTTAAATATAGGTATTGAACCGATGCTATGTATGACATTCAGAGAATAAGATGAAGTTGTGTTCTAATCAGCGAATGACTTATAAAACTCTGTTATATAAAACCAGCAAACAAAGTTCTTTGAAAATAATTGTTTTGATAATATTATTAGAAAATTAATAAAGATTTGAAAGGAAGACATGTCCAGCTTTAGGATACCATATGGTATTCCTACTCTCACCACTACCCAGTCGTCGTTGCCGTCTTCAGCGACGGTCACTACCAGTACCACCGGAACGGCCTTTTCCTTTCTATCGGAATAGACGGAGCATGCAATATAGAGAAGTTAATTTAAAAATAATAATGAACATCAATGAAGCAACCCCCCTCTCCCCTACGCTATCCTTTTAATTAATTTAAACAAGTTTTAAACTAGTATTTATATGCTTAAGTACGTGATTGAACGTAACAGAATATACAACAACAAACAAACAACATTAGTAATCGGTCACTACGATTAAAAGTAACCAAAACTTAAAATACTTAAGAATACTTATCAGATACTTGGAAATACTTAATTTATACAATAGCTATTACTTAGTATTTATATATTTATTACGATCGGGTGAATAAAATCGCAATATTTTGGTGGAAAAATGTTACAATATGCATCCAGTCCTTGTTCATACAATGTTGACCCATCTTTCAAGGTATGTAGTCAGTAATTTACTATTTCTGTCGAAGTCGTATTTCGTACACATACCACAACACGGTTATTTAATGATTGTGAGGACAGCTATTGTTGTATGACGTACCGTTTCACCTTAATTAAGTTACCTTCCGAGGCGACGGCTCCGGTGTAGTGGTTAACATCCAAAGTCACGAGTTCAAATCTTATTCCCGAACAAGTCACGAATAACCCAAGAGTGTTAAAGTGACTATAATAATAAAAAAATAAGAAAAAGTTACCTATCAAAGTGTGAACTGTGCAAATCAACCCCATCAATGATAAATTAGCGTTTTTTTAATCCAGTTCATTTATTTGGAAGGCTCAATCGCACTAGCTTTGCGGAGCCGATAATTAATTGTTCATTGTATGTAACAAAATTCACTTACTTCTATGTCTAGTAGGAGTTGGGCCAAATACTCGCGGCTTACCCGAGGTTAAAAGGGGTACGCAGTCGACTGTCAAAATACAAGAAAATATATTCCCTGTTGTAAACATTCTCGCGTTTCTATACGTTGACAAAAAATCAATAAGGCACCCTATTGTCTCCTCTTCCTCTTAGGTATGAATGGTAGTGCAATTATAGATTCGTCTGTAGTTCGACCGGCTATGATGACCAGTAGGTGACGATGAGACTCATCGAGACGGGGTGACAAGACAAACAAAAACTAATAAACAGAAACAAAAGACAAAGGAATTAAATTCTCATACTAGACATTTGCAGAAGCACATAAATCGTCTGCATATAGCAGATACATTAAGTTTATACGATATCTTGTTTTACTACTTCACTTGATTGTGTTTACAATGTTTGAAAAGTGAGCCTTATTTTTGAAATCATCCTACTAACTGATTGTGTTCTCATATAAAAACAAAAGTTAAATTTTTCATATTTTCCATCTACTTTTACAGAGTGGCATAAAACCCATGTGGGAGGACCCTGGAAATGTGCGTGGTGGTAAATGGGTAATTCGGTTGAAGAAAAACAAAATCGACCGCGCATGGGAGAACGTATGCATGGCAATGCTCGGAGAGCAGTTCCTGGTGGGTCCGGAAATATGTGGTGTCGTACTGTCGACACAATTTCCAGAAGATCTTTTATCGATCTGGAATCGAACCGCAACAGACACAACCAGTACCAACCGAATCCGGGACACGTTACGAAGAATTCTGAACCTACCTCCTTCGACACATATGGAGTATAAGCCACATTGCGATAGTCTCAAGTACCTTTAATACTGCTGTATCGTATTTACTCTCGTTATTCTGTCGGATTTTCGCCTCTTTCTGTAACGCCCAGGATGGATGGTCATCCTCTCAAGAAATAAAAAAAGGATAGCTAAATTGAACAGCTAAGAACTGAATTTCAATGCAACAATTTCCTAAAACTTATCAAAGTAAGCATATGAGCAAATAATCAATACACTCGTCAATGTTTAATGGTTTAACTAACCCTCTCCTTCCCATTGTAGTACAGGTGATCCACAACTTTTTGGTCCGTCTCATGTTTGTCAATTTGCCATTAAATAGTCAGCACTTATTTAAGCTCCTCTGTGTGCTTTTTATTCTCGTCTATAAGTTTTCATGAGAATTCAAATGTGTAACTGTAAAACAATTAGCTTAGGTACTATTGATTTTAAATTAAAAAAAAACTGAATTCGATAATTCGCTGAACGGAACATCTTTTGTTCTAGCCTTTTTTTTCAAAAATACATTTTTGCTTCTCAAAACAAGGGGTAAGGGGTTAAACCGTCCTTATGCTGCACTCATCGAATGATTTTAAGTGTTGAAATATGAAACATTTGACTAGTAAGCAATATGTTTTAGGACCTTATTACGGGTGTCACTACACGGCGATAAGGAAGTGATGCTCGCAATAAGAGCCGTGATTGCCGTAGAAATCAAATGGGAATCACTTTTAATTCAAACGTAACCAATTATAAGCACAAATGTAATTGCATTTCAGCCATTTTCATTCTAAGTCAGCTCGATTAGTCTACCGACCAGTATTGATTTTTTGCTCTTTTCTGTACAGTACAGAGAGGCTCGCTAGAGTAGGGACATCCGTTTTATTTATATCACATGCCTTGATCTTCTAATACAGTGAACTCTCTACAATTCGATATTGAAGGGACCATCGAGTTATAAAATAACAATCCCGTACAAAATTGCTATCACAGTAGGCATGAAATTCATTTCTACTATGGTTCTATAACTCGATATCGAGTTAATGGACATCGAGCTGTGGAGAGTTGCCTGTATGTAGTAACAAACGACGATTGTATTTTTCTGCTATGAAAGGTCGCCGTTGTGAAATGTTACAACCAGTCCCTCTGATTGGAGCGAAACCCTAATAAAAAAAAAATACCATTAACGAACGATATCCCAAAAGATTGAACTATTCCACAAATGGATTATACCCCGATTACGTCGTTAAACAAAATAACGATACAAGTTGTATTAGGGTAGGCTCATAACGGGCCTTATTACGAATGTCACTACACGGTGATAAGGAAGTGATATTCAGTATGAAAGCAGTGATTGCCGTACAAATCAAATGGTAATCACTTCACCGTGACGATAAGTGACAAGTTTTCACCGTGAAGTGACATCCGTAATTGGCGTTGACGGAACCGTCGAAAAATTTGCTCTTCCAGCAAATATAGACAGTTTCTTAAGGGAATTTTCGGTGGAGGGAAAGGATAGTAGTCCGCCATGTTTCACGCACAGTCTGACGTTTGCTTTTGGATTTTCTCATAGGAGTAAAGCGCTACAGAGTCGCTGTCAACGCCAATAAGCCCCAACGAGAGCGGTTTGGTTTGGAGGAGACAAAAAGAAGGAAAACCGTAAGTAAGATGTAGGTTTTCACCGAGGGGGGCGGCACATCTAAATCTCGATTTTAAATGGTCGAAAAATCTCACACTAGCGAATCAATCTACGAAAAATCTTTTTTCATCTCTTGCATTTAAACCCATCTTCTTACATCGCTCTCCACCTTTTGGCAGGAAATCTTCAAAATCATAATCAATCGTGTTTCTATCTATTAAGCGCAAGTGCATCTGACAACAGCAAAGCAAAAAAATTCCTGCACCTTATATTGAGTCGCCCCCCTCGGTTTTCACTTGAAACTCCTCAAACTCATTGGAGATTTTCAAATACTCTTGCCCAGCGAGTTTAGGCAGCCCTCGCCTCGAGGGAGTTTCGGTAGAAAAAAAGGAGCAAGTATTGGCGTCTTGCAGTGAAACTTTTCCAATCTTTCGCCACCTGCATTACGAAGTGAGAACTACTAGAAGGAGGATATAGTTTCCAAATTCTCCAAGTAAAACAGACGACTTTTGGGCTTTTGGGGCAAATCGGTACATAAAGAAAAACTAATAATTTCCGGTGGAAACATTTGCTTGAATCGTGTAAGAAAACGTGTTTGCAAACTAACTGTTATTAATTCGTTATGGATCGGATATGTTTTCAAGGAAAATTATGCATAACAAGTTTGCTCCCACAGGTAGAGGTTACCTCCTGCGCAGCTGCATTTTTCGGAAAATGGTGAATATGTGCGATTTCCACTAGGATGAAGTGGAAATTAAGTTAATTTACTTGGGAAAAATTGTATTATGCTGGTGATAATGGAGAAATGGTTGTATAGGACGCCAATATTCAATAAATGTTCATTTTGGCCTTTTTTAGGTAAACATATTGATACTCCTAATTTTCGACGGAAAACGCAACGGAACTTGTTTTACTCAACACGCATCATACTATAAAATTGCACTCGATGGTTTATTAAGTGATAACAATATGACAAATCATCTTTATTTTGAGTAATTGAGCAATTTACTTCTGTTTACATCATATGTACGATGCAGCATTGATGGAGCTGTGAAATGAAATGAATATATCTTATGAAAGTTCATCTGGAAAAGTCAAAGATGCACATCAGTCTGATCGTGAAAACATTTTCTTCTTCAATTCGAATGTTATATTGGAAGGATTTTACGCAGGCTTGATGAAAATTATGATTTAATGCTAATTTTCACGAATTTTATATGCAGTCTGTCAACATTATCATCATCATGCAGTGGCGACATCTGCGTCAGGCTTTTACGGCATTCTCCCAATACAAAAACTCCTCGAGCGAGAGGGAGAGCAAACTCAAGCCAGAGGATGACTTGACATGAGGTGCGCTTTCCGGTGCTCCGGATAACTTTTTTGTTCAAGCAAAAAGCTCCAGAGCTCACCTAGGGTGAGAGTTGAGGGTGTGTGAAAGAAAACATGGAAATGAATCGCAGCAAACCACACTCTCGTTTTATCCAAGGGGGGGAGGTGGCTGTCAAATACGAACAATCGTCGCCTACCTCGCATGCCTCGCATAACTGGTTCCAAACGTAAACAAGCCAGTTTCATACAAGAATGATCAGTAGGCTGATTTGACAGCACATACCTCCCCAGGTTTTATCCCCATTCGCTCAAAAGCTTGATGGAATGATAGACGAATGCACGGATGGATTTGAGTTCACTCTCTCGGCAAAAAGTGACACAACAGCGGGGCCCTGTTTACTAAGGCTCTGAACCATTTGGTGGATTATTTTAACTTTTGGTTAAAATTTGACAGATGGAAAGTTATCGATTAACCCTGCTATCCGAGCATGGTTATTTCTGACAGACAAGAAGTTAAATTTTGACGACCGTGGCTCGAAAACCGGTCGATCGACAGCACGGGGATTTTCGAACATAAGAAATAACTTTCGAAATGTCATTTTTAACCACGAGTTAAATTTAACTCGGCAAATGGTTCACAGCCTAAGGCTCTGAACCATTTGGCGATTTTTGACGTAGGACTACGTCTTTGATTTCTATATTTTTTTTTGTTAATTACTTTATTTGTTCAGGCTCATTCGAATAAACTTTACAGAGCCAAGTTATCATTTTCTTTATACATTATAAATGTCTTAAATCTAAAGTTAAAGGATTGGAACCGATTACTCGCGGTCTTCTCGAGGTTAGTGGATGACAATTGTTTGGATCGGGAGAGGGAAAAGGAGATTTGGAATATGATTTATGATTCAAAAATTTCACTATTTCTAAAACAAATACTTAATCCTATCGACGTTATATCAACTCTGTAATTATACAGTTATTACAGAAACAAATCTACAAAAAAAATACACACACACATACAAAACACAAACTAAACACAAGGTTAATCAAACTTACAATCTATGGTTAATATTCTTCAAGAAAACATATATGAGTTGCATAAACTCCAGATCGCGTCTAGCCAAAATATCCCGAACTGGAACATTAGGTTGTCTACCTCGAGCCCGAAGGGAATCGTACAACTCGGATCTGACTCCACGGTGCTCAGCACATGACCAAATAATGTGATCTGCGTCCTGGTAACCTTGTCCACATTCACAGAGATTACTGTCCCCCAGCTCAACACGGAACAAGTGAGCGTTTAACGAGTAGTGATTGGACATGAGGCGAGACATCATACGAATGAAGTCTCGACCCACATCCAACCCCTTGAACCAAGGACACTTCGACACCTTAGGTATGATTGAATATAACCATCGTCCCAAACTCCCTTCACTCCATTTATTTTGCCAGCTGGCGAGGGACTGTTGACGATAAATGAAGAAAAATTCGTCGTAGGCGATTTGTCGATCGTAAATATCGCCTTCCATAGCGCCCACCTTTGCAAGCGAGTCCGCTTTCTCATTTCCCGGAATCGAGCAATGAGATGGGACCCATGCAAAGGTGATGACAAAAGATCTTAAAGATAAAGCACTTAGAAGCTCTCGTATTTTCATGAGAAAATACGAGGAGTGCTTTACCGGCCTCATGGAGCGAATAGCCTCGACAGAACTGAGACTATCCGTAAAAATAAAATAATGATCTGGTGCAAGTGAGGCGATCGTTTCTAGCGTACAATGTATTGCCGCCAGCTCAGCAACATATACGGAACAAGGAGCTTGAAGCATTCGAGAGGCGCTATGAAATTCGTTATAAATACCAAAACCAGCGGACGCCTCTATTAGTGATCCATCTGTGAAGAACGATCTTGCGGAATCAACTTGGCCAAACTTTGCAGCGAAAATTGACGGAGCAATCATGGAACGATGATGCTCTGGGATTCCGCGAATCTCTTGCGTCATTGATAAATCAAAATGAACAGAACTGTCGAAGTCGGAGAAGCAAACACGATAGGGATTATGTTCGAAGGGCTGACATCCTGTGTTATGTACACGTAGTACAATGACATAAAACGAGTTTGAGGGTTTAGCTCAAGAAGCTTCTCAAAGTTTGCAATCACC